CCGGCGTTAACCTATGCTGCCATCTTGGTTCTCCCACTAGTTCATTTATTGAATACCTACTTTGGCCCAGGTTTTATGAAATATAAAGCTCCTTTATTGTTAATAAAAGGAATATCAAATTATTAATATGCTCTACAACTCCCAGCACATCCCAGCAATAGCCTGCCATGCCAGGGGCCTGTTCAAATTTCACTAGCTTCATAGGAAACCAGCCCCTGCATGGACCTGTGCCAAGGATTGTGCTGGAGCTGGGACACAAAGCAAACATCATTCCTAATTTTATGGAGCTTGTACTGTGGTGCAGGAAAGAGAGCTTAAACACATAGATTAAAAAGAAAAAGTACAATTACAAATTATAATTAAATTCTTGTTAGAGTTGAATTTCATCCTCAAAAATCACATCTTGAAGTCCTAACCCTCAGTATCTCAGAATATGACTGGAGATAGGGCCTTTAAAGAGGTAACTAAGTTAAAGTGAAGTCATTAGGGTGGACCTTAACCTAATAAGACGGGTGTCATTATAAGAGACTAGGACACATCCATCCAAAAGGAGGACCACGTGAAGACACAGAGAAAAGACGGTCATTTATGAGCCTAGCAGAGAGGTCTCAGAAGAAACCAACTCTGCTGACACCTTGCTCTGAAACATGTAGCCTCCAGCATTGTGAGAAAATATATTTCTATTGTTTAAACCACCCAGTAAGGTACTTTGTATGTCAACCCTAGCAGACTAACACAACCCCCTAAAATATGTGTTTCAGAGAAAACACTGTTAGAGGATTGGCGAGGATGCTGATCAGAGAAGGCATCTCTGAGGAAGTGCACATAAGCTAAGATGTGAAAAGACTAGAAATGATGAGCTATGGGGAATGAATAGATGGCAGATCCTGTTAAAAGGCAAAAGAAATCAGGGTGCTATTGCTTTGGTCAATTATAGTTAGCCTACAGAACCTAACAGTCCTTGGGAGACAATCTTTCTAAATTAACTATCTAAGATGAAAAGCTCATGTGCAGCCAACTTCATCACAGTCCACAGACTCTGAAGTATTGAATGAGCATGAAGTTGAATTTTTAATTGTAAGACAAAAGGTATTTGAGATCCTTCACACCCTGATGTGAGGACAAGACATTTCTGAAGAAAATGAATTTTATGAAATATGTAGCTCAAATACTTCATAGAAAAAGAATAAAGGGAAGTAATGTCCTTTCTTATGGCTCATCAAAGAGATTGTGGAAATTATAGAACCTGAATAGGCAAATCAAAAGGCAGTAGTATAGACTCTGATTAGTCAAGGTTAAAACCTCAGATAGAGTAGTGATATGCCTGAATAAATTGATTCTTCTTTGGTAAGCCAACTATATGCCCTCATTTTAACTCAATGGAATTGAGAATTATAATAAGAATTATAATAAGAATTATAGAATCATGGGATAGACAAGGGATCCCCTTGTTTCTTAATGGGATGTCACACAAACTACTTCTGACATATGGTTACTCAATTTGTCTTGTGAGAGATTGAATATACAAATGGACGAGTCAGACCAAGTATGACACTGGAACTTTGATTCACAGCATCTGAAGCAATCTATCCAGAATGGCCAGGACTTGGTCAAGACTACCAGTTTCACTATATTTTTGTCCCTGCTTCCAACTAAGGACCAACCAGAGAGAGCCAAATATGCATCCTAGCCAATCACATAAGATGCTCTGTTTCTAATTAATCAGCTCCTACTTGCCTGTGCCCATAACCTATAACCAAAGCAGACCTGAGACCTTCCTTGTGTTTACTATGGAGCCTTCCTATTCCTCTGCCTGCTTCTGAGTCTGTCAAATGGAAATGACAGTGGCCAAATCTTACTATAGCAAGCTCAAAATAAATAGCCTCTGTTTGTTCTCATTTGGGGGGCCTTCCTTTATTTCCATAGTTGACTGTTTCCAGAGAAGAAAATGTCTGTTAGGTCCCAGGGTCAACAGAAGAGGATGGGAATTAGAGTCACACTCAAGCTTTGAGGTGCCCAGCTTAGTGCCACTTGGTATTTCCCCCAGGGAAGATGTCAGAGACTGGGAAGGTAACAGTAACCACTGAACTCCCATTACAATTGTGTCCCTGCTGTCCAATGGGATAAGTCATCCAACAAAGTTCAAAGTGGTGATTATAGCTACAAAGTTCTAGTGATCTGGCCAGATGTGCCTATGTATTACCTGATTCACAAGACTACACAGAAAAGCCTTATAGTTGAAATGATGATAGAGTTGAATTGGAGGTCTAGATTGTTGAAAGCATTTGAAACAAGTGGATTATAGCATCAACTATTATTCATTTTGCAGCTGGTTTAAATCTCACCAATGTTGGCCTTAGGTAACCTGGATACAGCCTAGACTAGGAAGAAGCATTGCTCTGGAAATAAAATTTAGTCTCCAAACAGGGGTGGCTGCACTAAAGAAATGACCTGGGGAAGATTACTTGTCCATTTCCTTATCACTAAAAGGAAGATTACTGAACCACTATGGAGTTAAAATAAAATAATATGATAGAGTATTTTTAAAGGATATTAAGGTAGAGTATTTTAAATAATTGGAAAAGCATGAGTGCAAGACATTCTAATGCACAACTAAGTTTTCAGCACAATTAATTTTACCCCAACACATACGTCATTCAAATCAGATTAGCACACTAGTGGGAGAACCGAGAGTGGGTGTAACTCATGGGCTGCCTGGGGAGGAGCAAAATGTGGGGAAAGCCAGTGCTGGCTGACTGCTTCCTGGTTATCCTCCTGCTGAAATGCTAAGAATGATAAAGGAGACTGGTGAGGCTCTCATCGTGGATGGAGATTAATCTTCATCTCCTGGCAGCCATATAAAGTCACTTTCTGAAAAATGACATGGTGCTATTTGCAACCTCACTTTGTGACTGTCAAACCAGACTTTTCATCCACAGAAACCAGGCTGTATCTTAAGCTTTTTCCAGGTCAGCATTGCAGAAAACTCAGGGGAGAAGGTGGCCATCACCATGCCATGTTTTAAGAGGAGTGCATTCCAGTGGTCACCACTGCGTCTCCTCTTCTGGCCCCACATTACCAAATTTCTATACAAACTATCGCCAGCTGGTTAATTTCTCATTATATTTAGGTTCCTCTTTTATTCTTGAGGTAGATTCTCTGACAAGATAAATCATTTAATGCCAAAAAATAAAATTTAATAGGAAGATCCTGTTATATCCAATAATTTACATATTAAATGTCATGGAAGCTTCTTTCAGGTTGACCTTTGGCAGTGGGAGGGGCTTAAGCTGAAAGGAAAACAGGTAGAGTATGAATTTCTTCATCATGTTGATTCTTAACCCTGACTGCACATTGGAATCACTTGGAATGTGTTTTTAAAATACCAGTGACTGAGTCCCATCACTAGAAATGTAGTTTGTCTAGGGTAAGACAAAGGTATGGCATTTTAAAAAAATCACTCTGAAGAGTTTAATGATATGATCTCATTCATATGTGGAATCCAATGAACAAAATAAAATAATGAACAAAATAGATCCAGAGACATAGAAGCATGGAATAGACTGATGAATCTCAGAGGGAAGGAGAGTGGGTGGGTGGGTGGGGAGAGATTTACCAAAGAACCTATATGCATATATGCATAACCCATGCACACAGACAACAGTGTGGTGAAGGCCGGTGGCAGAGGACAGGCGAGGCTAGAAGGGGTCAATGGGGAATAAAAGGGAACATCTGTAGTACTTTTCAGCAATAAAGATAAACTTTAAAAAAGAGGTTAATGGTAGTCAAAGCATTTCTTCTGGGAGAGGCAGCAGAGCCTGGGAAGGTACTGAGAGACACTGGATCCCTCTAACAATGGGTGTAAAATGATGGGGCACGACTCCAGGAGAAGTCCAAAGTGATATTTATAGCACGTGAAGAGTTCCTAGAGAAAGAGGCTGTGATTAGCAAAGACAACAACCTGAATGGTCAGTATGGTTACTGCCTCCTCCCTCTGCCTCCTGGTGGGGCTTCACGGCTTTCACGGGCACCTTCACAGATGTATTTAGCTCTCTACACGCACCATCTCATTTCTGACTGGGACCCATAGTTCTCTTTGAGCTGTCCTTCTGTTTATTCCCCATCTTCATGTTTGTTTTGGTGTGTCCCCTGCAGCTGTACTGAACATTCTGCTTTCAACAAATCATTCTCCTGATTGGTCCAAAGCCTTTTGAGTCTATTTCTGTCTTTCTCTCACACGAGCACTCCCCAGTGTTCTCAATTGTATTCTCTAGTCAATAATGACTCAACCCTAACACAGTTCTTTCAGTAAAGTGGGCTCCATCTCTGCTTTCTTGCCTTGTAATTAAAAAGCAACACATTTCCTTCTAGATTTCATACATTCCATGTATTTCCTTCACTGTTGGATTTATATATCATAGCACTCTCTTTGCTAATAAAGAAAAATAAAAAAATTTTCATTTAAGTCTGCAATAAGAAAATAATCTGTCATATCACATAAATGTTTCATGCCCAGATATTTACTCATTTGTTTTCCTCTAAGACCCAATAAAATAGTCAAAGAGCCACATTCTATTTTAAATTAAAATGCATGGCTTTAAGGGCTATTTGACATGCAGTAATTATCTGCATAGTCTTCTAGCCAAGCATAGAAATTGCTAATGTCTCTGCCCTTGAAGGAAATGAACTGTGCAAAAAATTTCAAGCAAACACAATCCAACTGTTCACACAAAAGGGAGGTTGCATAAGAAATTCATTGTATCTCTACCCAAATTTCCCCTTGACTTGTCACAGATCAGCATGTACTTCACCTCTTTGGCTCCAATTAAACTTATAAACGGATGAGCTTTTCAGCAGACAAGGACCGACGTGCCCTTTCCACAGATGGTCAGTCACATGTTGCAGTAATGGCTAGACACGCCACTGGGGTACTGTATAAAAATGGTGGGACTCAGAGCACTGCAGCTCCAATTGCTGTTTAGAATCGCCTCTCTTTCAAGATGGATTTCCTTCATAGGAATGGAGTACTCATTATTCAGCATTTGCAGAAGGACTACCGAGCTTACTACAATTTTCTAAATTTTATGTCCAATGTTGGAGATCCCCGGAATATCTTTTCTATTTATTTTCCACTTTGGTTTCAACTTAATCAGACAGTTGGAACTAAGATGATATGGGTAGCAGTCATTGGGGATTGGTTCAATCTCATTTTTAAATGGTAAGGCTTCTGTTTTGTTTCATTTTTCCTAAAGTGTATTCTTAACTTTGTAGCTTTGGCTTAATGGTCACATTTTAGATGTGTGTAGTTTTACTTGGAAAACTCTCAAAATACCAGTTAACTTGAAACACAGATTCATAACTAGAACTTACAAAAGCCATAGAAATGTATACGTACATACAAATGTACATTTATATATGAATGTATACTGATTTATAAGTAAATGCCAAAGCCCTGTAACACATATGCTGTGATTAGCCAAGAAGTTAGTTAAATGAGCAGCACCCATACTGAACAGACTGGTGATTCCAGGGACCCCTTTGATATTCCCAATCTAAGTACCCCAAGCACCTGCAGGACTTCCACCGAAAGGAAAAAATGTCCCTGTTTATATTGAAAACTAACTGCATATGACTGTGTCTTCCTCTATAATGGTAGATAGACCAGAACCCAAGTTCTTTCAAAGATTCTTAATCATGAGCTTTCCTCATCAACCCTCTGACTGAATATTTTTGTAGGAGAAAATAGGATGTTTCCAATTAAGTACTTGTTGTGTATTTAAATATATTCATATTTATATTTCTTCAAATACAGGATATTATTTGGTCATCGGCCTTACTGGTGGATCCAAGAAACTCAGATTTACCCAAATCGCTCAAGTCCATGCCTTGAACAGTTTCCCACTACCTGTGAAACAGGTCCAGGTAAGCAATTATAGCAACCTCAAGTTACTAAAGATATTCCAACAGAGTCATTATGTATGATGATCATCTAATAAGTGTATGATATCATATAGGGAATTAAAGAAAATATCATGAGGGAGGATGCTAAAAGTTCATAAGCATAAAAATTGCTAATGAGAAAGGAAGTTTTATGAACAATCAAATTTCATTGTGTTATTTGTAAAATGGTAAGTTTGGAGAATACTCCTTAAATAATTTTATATTTGGAATTTATTTTTTGGAAGAATGGAATAATACTAAAACAAACAAAAAAGCTAGAACAAATTACCAAAGAACTATATTAAAATTCTAGAAATATTGATTTATCTACTACTGAGTAACTTTCAAAGTTAGTATAGGTATACTGAAAATCCCATGAATGAGGAAAGAATAGATAAGTTTTCTGTAAGAAAGGTAAGGACTTCCCAGTATTACTATTGCCAGTTAAGATATCTCTGATCTTAGAATGATTTCTTTAAAATTTCTTTTTTTCTTGTATATTTAGTATGTAAGTAGACTTTCTGGGCCACTTCTTTTTTTTATTATAAATAAGACTCTGTATGTGTGTAAAATCTTTACCAGAGAAGTTGAGTTTAGGACTATAAAAAGGTTTTTTGAAATATATAAAAAGAAATTACATGTTACTGGTTTAACTTATAAGACTGTGTTATATTATACCTCACTATAGTTTGGCATATATCAGAAAATTAATATTGACATCCATTGAAACCAACCCTGAATATAGTGAATGTGTAAGTTCTGTTATATTACTATAATTAATTCTTTATATATCTGGCTCCCTCAGTAGACTGTGTTCAATCATAATGGGGATGGTGTGTATTTTATCTTTGTGAAACCAGTGTGGGATGGATGGATGGATGGATAGATGGATGGATAGATAACCTTTGAGACAATTGAAATGCTACTTTGTTTTATCCCAGCACTTCCCAGCATGTGGGATATTTTCTGGGGTGAGGGGGTGGAGAGAAAAAAGAAAGATATATTGCATCCTGTGGTCACTCCTTAGAGATCTACAACTCTAAGGATATAAAGGCTCTGAAAATTCCTGCATAAGAAATAGATTTGAAATAAATAGATCTACAAGAAATAGATTGGTCTTTGTTTAATTCAGTGTTTTTTGAAGAAGAGACTGGTGTTTAACTTGAATGAATCTCCACTGGTTAAGACTCAGGGAGAATATCAAAGTAAAGTGAGTTTTAAAAAATATCAAGATTCATGGGAAAGACATTATAGGAGTAGAAAGTCTTCAGGCTTCTTCTGCCAATATTGATGCTCTCTTTACAGCTTCTCTTCCATTTCATAACAAAGACTTCCATGGAGCTGCTGGCCACAGGATAGACATAGAAATAGCTGCTAGTGCACAGCAGTCAATTGCTAAATCAGACATAGCAATGATATCCTTTAGATGCTTGACTTTCCAACCCAAGGAACATAAACTGATTTAAGATCCAATACAGGTACTTTATTTTTATCATCAATGAAAAACAATTAGATATGAACAATGACTAGAGATATGGCAGATTTTGGTACAGCACCTTGAGTTCTTAATTAGCCTTGAACATTTTAATTTCTGGAATTTGATGAACTTGAAAAATCTGGAAAAAATGTTTGAAGTAGTATTTTGAGGCTCAATTTGGCTCAATTTTCTTTATTTCTACCTATGTTTAAATATTACATAGAGCCTGTGCCCTGTGGATTCTTTCTGAGTTATTTGTAATGTTCATGGCTAATATGCCCTTCTACCATCCATTTCTGGCACTGATACTCTGTTAACTCCCTTTCAAATGGACCAACAACTTTGCTTTTGCAGGAAGTCCATCTGGTCATGCAATGGGCTCATCGTGTGTCTGGTACGTCATGGTAACAGCTGCACTGAGCAACACTGTCAGTTGGATGGATAAGTCATCTACCACTCTGCACAGGTCAGCTTTGCTCCAGTTTCTGTAGCATGGGAATATAACAGTTTTGAATATGGAATGTCTTCTTAAAAATTCATTTTAGTATACTTTTAGTGGTTGAAATGTGCTTTTTCTATTTTATCATAACCCAAAATAGCAAATGAATAGAAAAATTAATATTGTGCTTTAAGATAATGTCCTAATTAGTTCACAGCTTTGCCACATAATAGGGTTGGAAATATTTCATTGATTAATGATTTGCTAAATATGCTTTGGGTTTCTCTAATATAATAATCACTCTGGTAGCTCATAAGTAAATCATCTAAAATTATGTAAGAAATAATTTTGCATGTACATTCTCTTGCTTTAAGATTAACTAGAAATTTTGAGAATCATCATTCCCCTTGAATGCATCAATTAATTTAGTATAATTATACTTCTTTCTTTGACAGCAATAACAAATTCTAGCTTTAAAGACTTTGCAACCTTTGTGACTAAAAACATTCTAGAGGCAAACTTAAATTTGAATGTTAGTAGATTTCATGTTAGTAGATTTGTAATGTTTAAAAAGGCCTAGAACTTTAATGTAAGATTACTCAAAATTTTTGTAGGAATTGAGCTGTTTTCTTCTCTTCTTTTCTGAAATAATTTATCATTATAACAATTTGGAGCACCACTTTAATCATAAATTTTTAGGCTATCAGAGATAAAATTTGTTTGTTAACTGGTTTTTAAAATATGATAACATATACCATATATAAAAGTTCTTTTAAAATAAAAAATTTCCAAGAACCATCCACTTTTTAGAGTAGTATTGGATAATATAAGAAAGAAATAGCTAAAGTAATTTGAGCATATTTAAAGTTTATTCTAATGAGACTGTGACCTGCATGCCTTAATGTATCCATTAGCCAAAACAACAGTAGAGAGTTGTTTAATTTAAAGAAATTAGCATTTCCTAACCATAGACTATTTCTCAAAGTAGGAATCTAAAAAAAGGCTCACCTTCTTACAGCTTATTTCTTCCTCCAGTTTCCAAACCTGGAAAATATTTGCTTGTGTTGTGTTTTTTTTTAACTCCCATAACTCTTTTTCAATTTTTATAACTGCAACACTCCTTCATCCATCAAAATTTATTTAGTGCCTACTCCTTACCTTAATATTACCAAATCCTTATTTATTCTTCTTTCATATGGATACCTCCTGCTTACTTCCTCTTTGGAAGACTCATTTCCCTCTATTCATAGTCTTTCAATAACCAAAATTTGGTCTGATTATCAGTAACAAATCATTGAGAAGCCCCAAAATTCTTAGAATTCAATATTGCTAATTCTTTTTTTATTAAAATAATGAACATTGCTTGTATTTTAATATTTTATAAGTTTTTGTACCTTGTTTCTTTTCATTTTATTTATATTTATTGATTTTTGAGAGAGAGGGAGAGAGAGAGAAACACCGATTTGTTGTTTCAGTTATGTATGCATTCATTATGATTCTTGTATGTGCCCTGACTAGGGATTGAACCACAATCTTGGAGTATTGGGATGACACTCTAACCAACTGAACTACCCAGCCAGGGCCTACCTTGTTGTTCCTAACACAGACTATATAGCCTATAGGTCAATTCCCTTGTTTCTTATTTTCTGTATCTCAAAAACCAAGGAATCAGGACTTCTTTGAGAGTCTGAAATTAAACCCACTGAAAACTTGCCCTTGATAAAATGTTGATGTGCTTTTCATCAGAGTGGCAGACGTCTTTCCAGTGAGTTTTCTTCAAGCAAAGAAAGGTTGAGAGAGAGTAAAGAGGAAGCTCATATGATAAGTAGACATATATCTATAATTCATTCTTGATCATTCTGATATTAGCAATTCTCCTAACTTTAATTATCCCAGTCCATTAAAATAATTATTAGGATGTCAAATTGGCTTCCTTTTATAACATTTATTAAAATCTCAGAATATAGCACTATAAATGCATTGATAAATGCAAAAACCTCTGTGAAAGCGTTTCAAATCCTATGAAACACATGGAAACAACATTTTGGGAAAAACAAGACTCTAGAATCATGATGTTATGTCAGATGGTTCTTCTGAGAAAGGTCATCTGGTGTCACACAGCCCCTAATTTTATGAGCGATCGAATTTCTTTGCTTCTTACTCTTGTATCTATTCTTCCATCGTAGACTGACCTGGTCATTTTTTTGGAGTATTTTTTGGTTGATTCAAATCAGTGTCTGCATCTCCAGAGTATTCATAGCAACGCATTTTCCTCATCAAGTTATCCTCGGAGTAATTGGTGGTAAATATGATCCCTTACCTCTGGTTGTGTCATTTGAAAGCTTTAGTGTCATTTGTTTTATGTTCTCAGATTCTTCCTGGTGATCAGCTCCCCATTCTAGGTAATTCTGTTAAGAAACTGATGCTTAATGCTACCCTGGAGCTTAAGTGATTCAACACACCTCAGAATCCTCCTTGTGCAATGGCAGAGTCTCACCTAACAGTATAAACGTTAACCTCTTAGTGAGATGGGCTTCTCTGAAATGTGACTAGAGTTAAGTCCACCTTCCAGACCACCACTTCAGACAGCCTGCTTGTGTCTTGGTTTGGGGAACTTAATAATGGGCTTCCAACCTGCACACCATGCCACTCTCTCTCTGAAAACAGCTGAAATGATGATTACATAGCTATAAACTTCGTTTAGCCACTGCTTTGTATTCTCGAAGCGGCATTCACCACGATTGAATTTCTGCCATTTAGCCCCACATGCTTTTCAAAGGCTAAGTTAATTGGCTATGGCAATTGAAATATTAATTGCAAGCACCTAGAGCAGTGTTCTGCCTATAAAGTGGGTTGTCACTCAGTGCCGTGGATTCCTGAGAGATCCCCCTGTCCCACTATGGATGGCGAAAAGACCATGGGGCAAGTGTGTTACTGCTTTAAGAAAGGCTTTGGAAAATGGATAGAACCTAGGTGTCTAAAGCCCTTTACATTGAAAACTACAGCTAAATTCTTTTTTTGTTAACATATTTTTATTGATTTCAGAGAGGAAGGGAGAGGGTGTGAGAGATAGAAACATCAATAATGAGAGGGAGTCATTGATCATCTGCCTCCTGCATGCCCCACACCCGGGATGGAGCCCTCAATCTGGGCACGTGCCCTGACCGGGAATTGAACTGTGACCTCCTAGTTCAAAGGTTGATGCCCAACCACTGAGTCACACCAGCTGGGCAGCAGCTAAATTCTTCAAAGCGGGGAGGAATGATTCCTCAGGAGCTCAAGGGCACATAGTCGCCTTCAGTGTCTCTTTCTAATCCCCAGGCATGCTTGTGGCAGAGGCCTTTGAACACACTCCAGGCATCCAAACGGCCAGCCTGAGCACATACCTGAAGACCAACCTTTTCCTCTTCCTGTTTTCACTTGGCTTTTACCTGCTTCTCAGACTGCTTGACATTGACCTGCTGTGGTCTGTGCCCATAGCCAAGAAGTGGTGTGCCAACCCCGACTGGATCCACATTGACACCACGCCTTTTGCCGGACTCGTGAGAAACCTTGGGGTCCTCTTTGGCTTGGGCTTTGCAATCAACTCAGAGATGTTCCTCAGGAGCTGCCGAGGGGAAAACGGCTACAAGCTGAGCTTCCGGCTGCTCTGTGTCGTGGCCTCGTTGACCACACTACAGCTTTACCATTTCATCAAGATCCCCACTCACACAGAGCATTTATTTTATGTGCTGTCTTTCTGTAAAAGTGCGTCCATCCCACTGACTGTGGTTGCTCTGATTCCCTACTGTGTTCATGTGCTAATGAAACCAAGTGAAAAGAAGATTGACTAGAGTGTGCAGAGTTAGTGCTCTGTGGTCCCAGGAGGCAGGCGCTATTCACTTCTCAGTCTTCAGCATCCCAACAGGAGCCCCAGTATCAGGTCGCTTTATCACCTTCAGATGCTCTGGCTCTTGTGGGCATCTTAGTGGCAGTCAACTCTAACCCCCTCAGTTTTCAGATAAGGTATTGAAGTCTCATTTAGTTAACATAACTCACTGTTGTCACACTGCTGTAAGGACGGGAATTAGAACCCAAGTCTTCAGGCAAATATTCCCATTACACTACGTTTTGTTTGTTCGTTTTCAAGAGGTAATAATTTGTAAGATTTCATGTCGATTCTCTGATAATTACTATGTAAATCAGCTGTTTTTCAAAAAATAACATTAAAATGCCACATCTTGTTTGACTTAAACCATGCATACAGGGTCGTGAGGGGTCAGCGATGGTTCTGGATATGGATATGTATGCAGGTGAAAGGAAACAGGCCCCGTTACTGTGGACTTGAACTTCTGAAGAACTCCTGGTCTCTGTTTTACAAAAGTGATTTCTAATATGTCAATAAATGCTATTGAAGATTCTCTGCTTAGAACATTATTTACCTCCAAAAGGCTTATCTCTTTACTATGACATCCTTATACTTTCTCTTTAAGGGTCAATTTTTCAAGACTGGGGAAATCAAGTGCCTTCCTCAAGGTCATGCTCCAACCAGGAAAACTATTAAATGCTTATAGTATCCGTTAGCTGTGTTAACCTCTATATATACTGAACTATGATTAAAATCTACGGGTTTACTTTACAAAATTGTTATTGAGGGAATATTATGTCATACTAAGAATTTCTCAGTAAGGTTTTTTCTTATTGGACCTAGTAATTCTGGACTTTAAGTTGATACCTCTGTTATTTCAATCAAGTACATTTTGAGTCAGATTTTGCTACATATCTTAGTGACCTGTGATCTACCATAGTGTTTCATCTAACTCATTTCAAGGATATCAATACATGATTTATTTTAGATGATGACATATTAAATAACCTATAAATATTTATGAAAACATGACAGTTGAATCAGTGCTATTTACAAGATATTAGTTGAGAATAACAAAATCTCTAAAACGCAAAGTAATTATTGGTCCATTTCTAGGTGTATTTATAAATGTATGTTGTATATATATTATATGTATTTATAAGTATATGTTGTTGCTTTTTTTAAAATATATTTTATTGATTTTTTACAGAGAGGAAGGGAGAGAGATAGAGAGTTAGAAACATCGATGAGAGAGAAACATCGATCAGCTGCCTCCTGCACATCTCCTACTAAGGATGTGCCCACAACCAAGGTACATGCCCTTGACCGGAATCAAACCTGGGACCTTTCAGTCCGCAGGCCGACGCTCTATCCACTGAGCCAAACCGGTTTCGGCTTGTTGCTTTTAAAAAACACACTTATAGCTTTCTTTTTAAAAGGTAACTGAACTTGATTTCAGTAATTGGATGATTTCTAAGCAAAAAGCTAAGATATAATCAAATATTTTTAATTTATTTTTTATTTTGTCAATTATAGCTTACAGTCAATATTATTTGTACTAGAGGCCCGGTGCATGAAATTCTTGCAAGGTGGGAGGGGGGGGGTCCCCTCAGCCTGGCCTGCACCCTCTTGCAATCTGGGACCGCTGGCTCCTAACTGCTCACCTGTCTGCCTGCCTGATTGCCCCTAACCGCCTCTGCCTGTCCTCCTGATCGCCCCTAACCACTCATCTGACTGCCTGATAGCCCCTAATGACTCACTTGCCTGCCTCATCGCCCCTAACCACCTCTGCCTGCCTGCCTCATTGCCCCTAACCACTTGGCTGTCTGCCTAATCACCCCTAACTGCTTGCCTGTCTGCCTGATCACCCCTAACCACTCTGCCTGCCTGCCTAATCACCCCTAACTGCTTGCCTGCCTGCCTGCCTGATTGCCTATAACCACCTCTGCCTTGGCCCTCGCTGCGGCAGTTTCATCCAGAAGGATGTCTGGAATGACATCTGGAAGGTCGTTCGACTGTCTGGTCTAATTAGCATATTATGCTTTTATTATTATACACTAGAGGCCTGGTGCACAAAAATTTGTGCACTTGGGGAGGTCCCTCAGCCCAGCCTGCATCCTCTCACCATCTGGGACCCCTCAGGTAGGGTCCCTAGGCCTGGCCTGTGATCAGGGTCTATCGGGGCTTTCCTTCCCCTGGCTGCAGGCAGCTGGCCCCACCCCTGCTGCTGCCACTGCTTGCCTTCTGTGCAGCGCTGTCTCCCCCTCCCCTGCCACCAGTGGCCTCCCTCTGCAGGTGACCGATGTGGGATGTGATGGCTTGGATGGCCTGGGCCTCCCTCTGTGGGGCAATCGCTGGCGGGTGGCCTGGGCCTCCCTCTTTCTTTGCTGGGGGGCAGGGCCAGCCCTGCGAGGGGCCATGGCGGTTCTGGTCTTTGGTTGTTCTGGTTGTTCCATTTATGGTGGCTGGCCTTTTATTATATAGGATTATTAGTTTTGGGTATACAGCATGGTAGTCAGACTTTACAAAGTATTCACCCAATATTTCTAGTACCCACCTGCATCATACATAGTTATTGCAATATTATTAACTATATTTCCTATAATGTACTGAAGTAACATTATCTTAAGAATGAAATTTTTCTCATGTTGAGAAGACATTTGAGGTAAAAGAGGGAAGAATGATTCTTAACGTGTGATCTTTGTTCATTGATTCAAGCCTCCCAGTTGGAGTGACCATACAAAGTTACTTCAAACCTTTCACACTTTATGATGCATTTGCCTCCTCACATTCTTCTGCATTTGTCAGAGATCTCATTCCTGTGTAAGAGCTCTTTCTGACAGTTTCCATTGAGATTAGTAATGTTAATATTGGAGAATCTTCCATCCCAATATGGTTTCAGCCTGCTCTTACCAAGGTCTGAGGAAGCTGGGCATGAAGAGTCAAAGGATTCTGCTGTCACATGTGACTCCATTATAAATCCCTTCTCAGTTGTCTTCAGCCACCCACAGTGAGCGCTGTGGGCTGGATGATCTATGATCCTCAGAAGGGAAATATGCCAAGGTTTTGGCTCATTTTCTAGAATCAATCCCCAAGTACTCTACCTTACTCTCCATAAAGCTCTGGCGTCTCCATGTGGTGAGGTTTCCCTCTTTACTCTAGTTGACATCTCCTGGAGGGATCCATATGGTGACAAATGGCTTTTGCAGTTCAAACTACATAGGCAGCAAGAGGAATAGCTTTTCACAGCTTTGGAGAAAAGATCTGCTTTTAATAGGAATGGAAAAGACTCTTCTTCCAATTCATTTGCCTAAAGTAAGGGGATTTGGGTTCATTTGACATGCTGTTACTATATCCATGTATTCAAAATGTCCGCACACCTACATATTCAGGAGAAAAATGAGCTTTCAGGATAGAAGAAAATCTAGACAAGTGAGTTGAGAAACTGTCCAATCAAACATGTATTTGCAAAGAAATGCAAAGGAGTTTATTTTTGCTGAAACTAGCTATCAAGAAGAGTGTTGGATCCCTTTCCGTTGACAACATAGGAATAGGACATCTGTCTCAGAAGGTTAAATTGGTACCTTCTTTGGAACTATTTCAGTATAACAGATGGGCAATTAAAAATTTATTATAAGATGCCCTTGAAACTCAAAGTTGTATCTCTAAATGTTTTTATTTATTCAAAATCTATAAATAAATCCAAGATCAAATTAATACATATAAAAACCTTGGTATAAGATGAATTCAAAAAAACTAGGTTTTATTTTTTTTAATTTATCTTTATTGTTGAAAGTATTATAGATGTCCCCCATTTTCCTCCCATTGACCCCCTCCACCCCACTCCTGCCTTAAATGTGATTGATTTCTTGGGTATATTAAAACTATATAGTTTAACTGGACTTTTATATTGATGGAAGTATTCTGTGCTGTCCAAAATGGTAGTCTATAACTACATGTAGCTATTGAGCTCTTGAAATACAGCAAATGCAATTGAGGAAATACATTTTAAAATTTTACTTACTTTAACTTAAACTTAAATAGTCATGTGTGTTTAGTAGCTATTGAAATGGATAGCACAAATCAAGTCCCACAGTGCTTTTTCCTAAAAAAAAAAAAAATAATAATAATAAGTCTTTTTAAAAATATTGTCACTTATACTACATTCCTGTGAGACAACATGAATCAGTATTAACTGCTTTATTTTATATGAAAAAAATTGATTTGTTGGCAGAACATGGACAACGGATGCTTACCTCAGCACAGGAATCTCTTAATTAGCCCACAGATGCTATTTTTCAGTTGAAAATATAGTAGTGGTGATTGGTAAATCCCACTGTGATCTTTACACATTCATAAGAAAAATTTAAGTTGTGGGGTAACTGACACTAAACAATTTCTGGGGCTGGAAGGATTAAAGTGACTATAAAAAGTTAAGAGTAGGCTCTGCTGTGTTTTTATGGAGGCCCTCTACAGAGCTGGGGTTCTCTCTCTGTGCAGTTCCCTTCTCTCTTTCTCTGTCCTGTGAGCTCTAGCCGCCTTGGTTTCCTGGGACTCTTAGCTCTGTTGCCCAAAGCAGGGAGGCTGGCTACCCTTCTCTGCTCCCTGTCCTGGAGACCCTCACAGGGCCACAGAACTGGGTGAAGTTTTACCAACATCTATGACCACGTTCTGGGTGGCTGGATGACTCTCTGCCAAGTTACCCTGCTTGTCTGGGTCTGCCAGACCTACATGCCAGACACCAGAACTGCTGTGGCTATTCAGAAACTGTTTGTAAAAAGAGTTACCAGTGTCCAGTTGCACCCGAGAATTTTACCCTCATTGACTGACTGTCCCAGTCACTCTGGAAATTGCAAACAGCTTTCTGGATGAATACCTGGACCTGAGTGTTGCCAAGAAACTAAGGTAGTGTTCCTAATGTTTTCCCTGTCCCCTGACCTTTAATGCTTTCCAATAGTGATTTCACACTAAAAGTAATACGATACGACTGGTTCATTTTTAAAAAAGACTTTATTTTGTTTTTCTTTAAAGACAAAATGCTAACAGCAGAAAAGGTCTATAAGAATCAATAGTTCCAAAAACTTCTTCCAAAAGATGGCAACTTGTGGGAGAATTCTAAGAATTAGAAGTGCTTCATTTCAGCTTGGCAAAGGACAAATGTACATTTTGTCCAATTTGAGGGTGGTTTGATGTGGAATACTAATACTAATTACTGTCTTTGCTGCTCTTTGATGGAGATCACAGTAATGACTTAGAAGAAATTACATCTCATTTCCTTTGGCAGCACAGAAGTGATTGTTCTCAAGGAGGGAGAAAATTCAAAGATTGAGGTTAGAAAGGTTAGCGTCAAGCTGATTAATTATTTTCTGTCTTAAATTTTAAAATTTCCTAGAATCCTTTTTCTTTTAACATTTTGCCATGTGGTTTCTGAACAGAATCTGCTTCAGTTAAAAAAAAAAATTGTGACAGTTTCCCAAAGAGCACTATGTTCTGAAGGAGCTGCCAGGGCAGGGGCAGGGGCAGGGGCAGGGGCAGGTAATGAGGGCAGGGCAGCCGCTGTGGTCCTGGTGAGTGGGCTTGTGGCTTAGATCAGGCACTGCCAAGAGGAGCGTTTGCTCTGGTAGCATCTTGCCCACTTCCAGTGCTGGCCCAAGCGAAGGCAGAAACCTCTTCCCTGGGAGGACCTGCTGTGTGCCCTGCAGGAGGAGCAGGCCCTGTGCGAGTCTGGGAAAGAAACCCAGAACTAATTAAGGCTTCTTTCCTCCTCTAGCTCTCACCCACCCTTGCACATCAATTGGGCCAGTCACACTCTAATTTCTGTTCAAAGAATTGACTTTTTCCTGGACGCAGCCTGTCATCCTTGTTCACACATTCTGCCATTAACGGAAGGAGTTTTCTAGAGCTGGACGTTGCATTCGCTCGTCACTGCCTTTCACAGACAGCACCCTTGCCCTCAAGCTTCATAATTGTTCGTGCAAAGCATTTGACCCTCGAGACCTCTTTTTCTGCAGAATCATTCCAAACTCTGTCTTTTAACAATGTTTTGAGTGAAAGAAATGGTAAAGACCCTGCTATCTTTCTATATAAAGACTAGAAGCCTGGTGCACAAAAATTGTGCACTTGGGGGATTCCCTCAGCCCAGCCTGAGCCTCTCGCAATCCGGGAGCCCTCGAGGGATGTCCCACAGCCCTCAGGGGATGTCCGACTGACGCTTAGTGATGCCGCAGAGGTGGAAGAGACACTTGCCAGCCATGAGCCCGGCTTCTGGTTGAGCAGCGCCCCCCCTGTGGGAGTGCACTGACCACCAGGGGGAAGCTCCTGCATTGAATGTCTACCTCCTGGTGGTCAGTGTGCATCATAGTGACCCGACGTTCAGTTTGGTCGATTTGCATATTAGCCTTTTATTACATAGGATTGCATTGGCTTAACACAGGGAAAGTAAATGCCTCTGTCTGAGTTTGTGAGATTTTATTGTGCTTCTTATCCTTTAGCATTGGAATGTTGATGGTGGTGCCACATACCCCTATGTGGATCCCAAAGGGTGTCATAATACAAGGGGGCAGGTGCTAGCAAGTTCAAGGACAGATAGATGTAAAAAAGACTGTGGATTTTGCAGCAGGCATTGTGGACTGGAGTTATCAGACCTAGGTTTTAGTCTGTCTCTGGATTTAACTACTGGGATGCTGGGAAGCCATTTATGTTGGTGAGTTTAGCTGAATAATTTCTCAAATCAGGACCTTCAAGTGGACTTAGAATGGAAGATTCATTCCAGCTCTGACATTCTGCAGCTCTAAGGATCTTCTTTAATGAAATTGGAAGAAGAGCCAGAACAGCCCTAGCCAGCATGGCTCAGTGGATAGAGCGTCAGCCTGCGGATTCTGGTCACAGGCACGTACCTTGGTTGCAGGTTCCTCCCCGGTCTTGGCCATGGTTGGGACGTGTGCAGGAGGCAACCAATCGATGTGTTTTGCTCAAGTTGATATTTCTCTCTGTCGTTCCCTTTCTCTTCCACTCTCTCTAAAAATCAATGGAAAAATATCCTCGGGTGAGGATTAAAAAAAAAAAAGAAGAGCCAGAGCATATTACCTTTTACTTACATGCAATGAATAAGGCTGTAAATCCTAAACAGTACTTCATTTTGTAATTTGCTTTTTAATAAACAATTTTAGATTTAGATTTATATAATACCTTTCAGTCTTTAAAACATCCTATTCTGATTAGAATTTGAATTTTATAGCTATGTAAAGAGATGCATTGAAACATGAAATAATGTGGCTGATGTTATAGAGCAAGATTATTGACATGAGAATATTCATAGATTTTCTGCTCACCTATTTTACAAAAGAGATCCCATAATGAAATTATCGGCTCCATTTCCCCTTTCTTAACAACTTAAAGAGGAAGATGTTCTTGCAGGAAGAGATACTAAGGGGTTATTTATAACAGGCTGAATGAGAAGAAGTTTGCTTGGTGGGAGGGGAGTTGGAGGTGCTTAACTAAACTGCACTGTATGGGGGAAGTAACTAGAAAATTGAAATATCCTATTAGTACGTTTGTTGTGGACTAATTACAGATCTCTCAAACACATAAAGATAAGTTTTACTTTTTAAATTTCATGGTTGCTGTTATGTTTTTCTTGAATGCACCACAAGTCTAACATCAAATTATATGTTGGCAAGATTTTTGAGGATGATCATGCTAAATGACAATTAGAGATCCAGTTCCAAGTAGCTTCTAAGATCTTTTCAGGCTCAAACAGGACCCCTTCTGTCCATGATTTTCTTTTCTCCCTAACCTTCCTACCACCCTCTGTCAAACACTTATTAAAATCATTTAGGTGCTAGATATGCAAGGGGTGACTTTGATATAGGCCTTTCCCTTGAGGAGACCCCCAGGGTTCCAGGCTTCCCTGCTGCAACTGTGGGCGGACACCAGGGCTATCTCTGGCCTGTGGGCTTGGAAGAACTGAATTGAGACTATACCCAGCTACAGGTTAGCTGGTAACATTATTCCCCATCTCTTCTAACCCACCCTATTTCAGATTCATTCTCTTTTTTTAAAATTTACTTTTTATCATATGAGAGGATGAGAAAGCATCATCACAAAACACCAAGTCCCTAAGTAAAAACCTCTTCAGTTAAAGCATAGTAAAGAAAGGTACATGAAATGTTCTTGGAAAACTAGAATGAGCTGTGAGGATTTCCATCCAGTTATATCTCTTTTCATATGAGTGACATTTGAAAAGAAAGACTATGATTAATTCCTCCTTTCAGTCAATATTTTTGGAAAACCTCTAGGTGTAAAGGTCATATTTTAAGGTAATTTAATAACACAAATCAATACTTCAATGTTGCATTTTCAGTATTTTTTATTTATAAAAATCTAACTGTATCTATTAATTATGTTAATTCCAAATTAACAACAACAACTACAAAAAAAAAAATGACTTCAGGGCTTAGCAGGTGAGAGGTGTCTTTTTCTTGTGTAGTAGGATGGCTGGAGTTAGGCAGCTCAGGCTGGAGCAGCTTCTCAAGGATGTCCAAAAATCAGACTCAATTTGTCTACCCTCTCTGCCATTCGTAGTCATGTCCAAATGACCACAGCACGGCTGCTATGCATTCAGGAAAGAAGAAAGAAGGAAAATTGGTTTTTGTTTTTGACACAGGCTTTATTCCAGAAGGGACAGCCTCCATAGAGACTTGTGTCTATATTTCATTGACCAAAATAGTATCATATGGCCTCCCCTGCAAGGAAGTCTGGGAAGGTGACTACTTTACTTTCCAGCCTCTGTAATCGAGGCAAACAAAGGCAATGGGGTGTAATATGGGTGTCAAGTGGGCTAACCTATGATGCCTGACATAGTGCTAACCTGCCTGCCTGATCGCCCCTAACCACCTTGGCCTCGGCCCCTGCCCCCATCCCTGTGGGATCAGTCCTAAACCAGCAGTCAGACATCCCCCGAGGGGTCCCGGATTGCCAGAGGGTGCAGGCTGGGCTGAGGGACACCCCACCCCTGTGCTTGAATTTTGTGCACTGGGCCTCTAGTTGTTAATAATTGTAAACACTGTTCTGGGTCACCTTGAGTGAACATTTCCCTTTTTATCTCCAGCCATTCTGTTGTCCTCACATTCATCTCTTTGTATCTGAGAGTAGAAGCTGTACCTGAATTACAAACAGTAGAGAATTACCAATTCACCAGCTGGCTATGTATTCTTCTTCCTTAATCTACTGCACATTTTGTCCAAGTGCTGATTTATTGCATTGAGTAATTGCATCCAGACAGCTATATGCCAATCATGTGTATCCTGATTACTCATTATGAGCTTTAGGATACCATACAACTCACTAATGAACACATTATAATGCTGGCCAGTGCCAATTAGATGATAATCATGTGCACTGCTTTATTTACAATCCATCCGTTTAAATTAATTGGGCATTTAATTGAACACAGTGTGAAAGAAATTGGAATTGCATTTCTCAGTTAAGTTACTTTCATCTGTCATCTCTTACATAGCAGGTAAGATTATTCACTTGATCTAGAAATTTAAAACAAATACAAATGGACATAATGCTTATTTTATAATGGCGCACATATGTAAATTAATCTCAAAATGTGTTAGAAAACAGCAATAAAATTTGCAAAGTTTTAATCTCCACTAACAGCCTTATGTGACCTGATTACAGAGAGAATCTACATGCGTAGGAGAATCCAGCTCTCAGTTGGAAATATGAGGTGGGATCTTAAACCAACCTTATGATAATGTCCTGATATTTTCTTAGGATAGGACATTTACATTTAATTCATGAATAAATATGTGGCAAATCATATTTAATTATGATCCTATGTATTTTTCTCTTTCAGGACATAGTATCAAAACATTTCAGGATCTACATTTTTCAGTGAGTGTTTAATTTCCAAACATTGCATGCATGAATGTACCACTAAATTCAAAGTGTCTATTCATTGAAATAATTTCCTAAAAGCACATGTAGAATAGACATAGAGTAAATACATGAAAAATAGTTTCTAGACAAAAAAATCTAGAGGCCAACTCTTCTACTTTTTTTTTCATAGTCACATTTCTGGTTTATGGATATCTGCCTCCATATAGTTTTGAGAAGCATTAAATGACTGAGGGTCTCTTCCCAAAATAAGTAGGAAGATGTGCTGCTCCAACTATTCATAAGAATTCTTCATAGGAAAAAAATCATAAATTATTCTGATAAGTTAACTGGAACTAAACATATCTTGGAAAGAAGACCTTGGTGGAATTAATAATATGCCAATTTTTAAAGTTATATTGTGTTACACTAAGAAACCTTAGTTCTTTCCCTTTTTGCAACTCAATTCAATAGGTGATGCAAATAAAATGAATGATGTAAAGAATTTTAAAAATATATTTTTTATTTTTAAAAAAGTTTTTTTTTTATTGATTTCATAGAGGAAGGGAGAGGGAGAGGGAGATAGAAACACCAATGATGAGAGAGAATCATTGATTGGCTGCCTCTTGCATGGCCCTATTGGGGATGGAGCCTGCAACTGGGACATGTGCCCTTGACCAGAGTGGAACCTGGGACCCTTTAGTCCGCCGACTGATGCTCTAGCCATTGAGCCAAACCAGTTAGGGCTGGGCTCATGTTTTTACAGGACTTGAATCATAAAGAAATAACTGAGGCTCAGATCAGGAAATACATGAACCTGGATTCTCTAACCCTGTCTGTCTGATAGAGTAGTCTCTAGTCACATGCTGCTACTGGGAACTTGACATGTGGCTAGTCTGAACTGAAATATGCAGTAAGAGTAAATACACATGAGTGTTTGGAAATTTAATATGATAAAATAACAAAATATTAATAATTTTTATATGTATTACATGTTGTGATAATATATTGGATATATCAGCTTAAATAAAAACATTATTAACATTAATTTCACTTTTTTGCTTTCCTTTCTTTAATGTAACTAGAAATTTTTAAATTACATATGTGGCTTGCATTAGTGACTCATTATATTTCCATTGAAAGGCACTGCTCTATCTTAATGGGAAGAATGAACATTTCCCACTTTTATTGTCTTGGGGCTAACAAATTATGGGCTCAAATGAAAAAACACACACACAACAACACAAAAAACAAAAACAAAAAACCCTCTTCTGCCCTTAAGGAATTCAAATTCTCACTTACTCCAAGACTTCTCACTGATTCCCATGGAGCACGGGGGCTGGCTCCTGCATGGGGTAAGCACCAGGCGATGCCTAAAAAGCTGCTAGACATTGGCTTTTCGCTCACATTGGGCCTACCTTATTTCACTTTTCTATATATAGGCATTTAGAACTATTTTTATCAAAGGTCATGAGAAGGTAGCTTGGATCCCAATGTATGGCAATGTGTGTGAAAGTAAAATAATCATCATATCTTCTTAAAGAAAAAAAATAACCCATGGCACTTCTGTACTTGGTGCATCACCTGTGTGTGAAATTCTAGAGTCAGGTCAACTGATAGGGGCTCCTGTAGTGACCAGTTTGTAATAGGCTCCTTTCTGGGCCATCAGTTCTTTATGGGTCCCCTTCTCAATCACTGTCCCCTGGGACATGACAGCAATGATATTCGAGTTCTGGATGGTGGACAAACGGTGGGCAATGACAATGCAGGTCCGTCCTTCTCTGGCTTTGTCCAGGGCAACCTGCACCGTCTGCAAAAAAAAAAAAAAAAAAAAGGTAGAAAGATGATGCAAAGATACATGCTTGTTCCCTGACCCAGCATTGCAAGAATTCTGTTTAATTCCACCTGAGTAACATGGCTATAGTCAGGGGTTAAACCCAAAGGCTTGACATAAAAGAAATAAATATCTGCTGAATAGAATGCACCAATGGTTTGAATTGCAGTCCATAGGCGGAGAAATGTCAACGAAGCTAGCATGAACCAAACTACGAGGTCATGACGTAATTTCAAAATACCTGATAGTCTAGTTTGCTAAAATGAAACCAAGGAAGCAAGGTAAGGTAGAAGTCATTGATCATTCCTGATTTTGTTCTTCATCGAGGATATTTTAGCTGGCTCCAAAATGAAATCCTGGTTTTCCAGGAGTTAACCAATAGTAAATTTCATAATTGTGTTTTTTTGCTCAAGTGCATCTCCTTTCATTCAAACTGCACAACAGATACCGCCTCCTACTTGGTGTTGTATGCTGCTACCTGCTCTGCACAGAACTTTAGAACTATAAAAATGGCAATGCCCAACAAATGACCTGGATTGTTTTACTTTACTTAATAAAGCTAATTCTTTGCCTTTGAAAAAATGTCACCAAGCTTAGAGAATCTTAAAAACAATTTTTATTTTAAAGTTAAACTATTTTTTTTTAATTTGAAGCAACCCTATTTTAAATTACTTTCTCCAGTTCAGCAATTTTCAATCGTTGAGCTGCATGAATTTTTTAAACATGCAATACCTGACTATTTAATTGGGGGCACTGACCTCTTTCCCCTTAGACTGTCAAATAAAAAAATGACAACACCCAACACAACAATAGCTATCCAGTGTGAATAAATCAACATTATATCTCTTTTTCATCAGATCAACAAAAATATATGTATATTTTTGGTGTGTCACAGAATTTTAGCAGTTAATGTGTGCCATGAGATGAAAAAGGTTGAAAATAACTGCTCTAGATTATTGTCCTTCACTGCAGAGTATTGGCAATTCCTACTGTACATGAATCAGAAAATTGAAAATAGTGCCATTTTAGAAGGACAAATATTACAGGAAAAGACTCATTTATAATGATCTAAAACTTCAGAAAACCGGTACATACCTTTTCACTTTCTGTGTCTAAGGCAGAAGTAGCTTCATCTAGTAGCAAGATTTTAGGATCTCTCACAATGGCCCGAGCAATAGCAATGCGTTGTTTCTCTCCCCGAGAGAGTTGAGACCCCTGGGACCCAACATTAGTTTCATATTTCTGGAAAAAGTATGATAAGTTTGAAAACCAGTAGCAGCCATTGCTCCTATGCTGTATGGAGCCCCCATCAATGATCCCTCTGGGAACTGAAACCATTTGTTGTTTTTTGAAATTGGCAATAGTGAATGGGTCCTTCTACATTGGATGTCAAATCCATTTAGAAATCTGTGGCAAACACGGAGTTTGTGATCTTTTCCGCTGGGAAACAAGGGGCCCTTTTACACCCTCCTCTGCATTTCCTTAGTTTTGTATTTTGATCTCTTTCTCCGTGTGTGAGATTCCTCACTGCTTCCAGATTCCCTGATTTCCAAACTCCTCTGTGGAAGATCTCAGACAGAATAACCCTAGGAAAAAGGGCCTGTGAGAGATCTTCTAGTCGAGGCCCCTGTGGAGGAGGCAGCATTCTAGAACACAAGCCTAGATGTGAATCTCCGTTTTGCTGCTACTAGCTCTGTGATCATGAAAACATTATTTAAATTTCTTTGAGGAAAAAACCAATCTGAAAGATGCAGATGTTAATAACTAGTTCACATATTTATTGTGAGTTTTAGATGAAATTATGAAGGAAAATTCCTAGCTAGATTCCTGGCATGACTACATAAAAATAGTTAATGTTGATGGACTATTTACTAGGCATTAAGTACTGTGCCAAATAACTATTCTAGTCAGATTATCATTTAATAATCACAAAAATCATTTTCTCCCTATTTTACAGATTACAAAACTAAGACACACACAGCTAAGAAAATTCTGTAAAAATAGACAAATAAATAGCAGTGACAATAAATTCTAAATCCAGGTGTGTCTGGCTTCTGAACTTTTGCCCTTGACCATTACTCTGCCTGCCTTCCACAATAGGTCTGCTTCTGCCTCCCTGGCCTCCTGACAAATGCTCAACCAAGCCAACTGAGACTCATAATAGCCTACTTTGTCCTACTTTCACCACTGAGAAAACGTGTTCAGTGAAAGGTATTATAGGTAAGTCTATCTGAGAAAGAGGCAATAAATTAACTCTGAGCCAGTGTCTCCCACAAAATGAGTAGGTGCTCAACAAAGATTTGTGGAATAAATGAATCTTTCAATGGACACAAGCTTTGCTTTTCAATCATGGTACAGCAAATAGTCATTTCCACATTAGGCTACAAGACAGAATGAGGTCAGGAGCCCAAGACTTAGAAGCCTTTGTGGAAAGAAAGAAAAAAAGAAAGAAGAAAGAAAGAAAGAAAGAAAGAAAGAAAGAAAGGAGGGAGGGAGGGAGGGAGGGAAGGAAGGAGGGAAGGAAGGAAGAAAAAGGCCCACCACAAAAGTTATAAATGTAATCACTTATAAAGAAAAGCAATTTCCAAGTGGTATTTAAGAGAAAGCAGTGGAAAAAATTAATGCAATATTTGGCTCTTAAAATCCAGTTTCCACGTCTTAATTTTCTTTGTGATCAATCACCAAGAGAGACTTGGTAGATGAAAAAACTTCGGAGTCGATACTGTGCTAAGCTCACACTTGGCTCTGGAAGAGTGTGACATGCTCAGGCAGACGCACCTTAGCCCACCAGCTGCCCTGGTTCCTGGGAAACCATTTCAGCTGCAGTCTGTGCTGCCAAGTAATGAAATTATGAAGACAATAATAATAGCAGCAGCTTTCTTTGTGTGGCTATTATGTATATTCTTTCATTCTAATGTTATTTTTTACAGATGACTGAGTCTCAGGCAAGATAAGTAATTGTCCCAACGTTACACAGCTAGTAAGTGATAGAGCTTGGGTTCAAACCGGTCTGCTTTAAATCTCAGGACTTTTTTTCACTATGCTAGGCTGATGTCCAATGTGCTACTGCTTTATGTACTATAGCATCCTTTGTACCTGACGATAGAATACTTTCCTAAAGTAAAAAGTATGTTGATGGACATTTATTTTGTTTAAAAGACTGAGGTGAACCCCAGGCACTGAGAAATAAATTGTGTTGTCTTTGACTTTCTCCTTGAGCCCAAATCATGATATTCTTTGGTTATTCTCTCTCTCCCCGTCACCATCTCCCCTAGGGAACCACTCTGACACAGTACTCACCTCTGGGAGTGACATGACAAAGTCATGCAGCTGAGCCTGCTTTGAAGCTTCTATGACTTTTTCCATGGGGATGTCTCTGGTGTTGTCCCCATACTTGATATTGTCTGTTATGCTACAGGCAAACAACACCGGTTCTTGGGAAACAATTCCAATGTTGGAACGGAGAAACTGGACATTCACCCTTTTGCTATCATGCCCATCGATCATCTGCCAACAGAGGTAACAACCAGGGCATTAAGTTTTAGAATTCCAGCAGCAAGGAAAGTTTATATTCTAGAATTAATATTACGTAGGATATTTGCTTTGCTGAAGAGACAACAATCCCAGGACTCTTAGAAATAAATTATGTTGCCTTTGACCCTTGGAGGTGGGGTCTATCAGAATGGTGTCAAAGTTATAATCAGACTATGGTTTTGTTTGTTTGCTTCCCAAAGTTTAGCTGTACAGGTGGTACAAATGAGAAAAGTACTCAGGACAGTATTTAGTTGTTTTTTTTTAATGTTCTTATTTGATTCTTAGAGAGAGGAAGGGAGAGGGATAGAGAGTAGAAACATTGATAAAAGAGAAACATCATAGATTAGCTGCCTCCTGCATACCTCCTACTGGGATGGAGCCCACAACCCAGGCATATGCCCTGATCAGGAATTGAACCAGTGATCTCTTGGTTCATAGGTCAATGCTCAATCACTGAGCCACACAGGCTAGTTTTTTTTAAAGGTCCCCTTATACTTTGGTGCAGGGCATCCTCCGCAGATTTGTAGAACTGCTCAAATTTGAGACCCCATGGGTTATAAAATTGGACCACATAAGAATCAAACCTGTTTCCATGAGCTTACTGACATCAGTCTCTGCATAACTAGATAATAGACCTGAGTAAGAAAGGGATACATTTATTCACTTAATCAACAAACATATATTGAATCCCCTACCACAGAGGCACTAAGCTAAGCAGTCTTTTGACTGCTATAGAAAGAAAAAATATATATATTTTTAAGGAATTCACTCTTTAGTTAGACAGTTAAGTATAGGAACTCAAATATCTACCATTTGAGCTGGTTCACTTAAAAGTACTAACATACTACTGTAAAGTATTTGGTCCTTTGATTTCAGAAAAAGACTATGGTAAATGGTGTGAGCATATTATATTGTAGATAATATCTCAGCAATGAGAAAAGCAAACACTGTTAGAAAGAACATAAGGCATTCCTCAACAATTAGCCCTCTCTCATTTTCCTCTACTCATTTTCCATAGTTTGTATAGTCTGCAAAGCACAATTAATACTTAATTAAATACTGGAGCTGTTTGCTCATTGTTGCACATGTGCTAGTATTGTAAGCTCCTAGAAGATAGAGACATGCTTCATGGTCCTTAATATCTCCCACAGGGCCCAGTGCAGTCCTGCACACCATAGGTAGCCAATTAAATGTTGAAAAGGTTGAATGCTTGCATTCAGTAGCTTCCCTAAGAGCAAAGAGGATTTTCAAAATTACATAAAAGGTGGTATTTCTTTCTACTTAAAAATGTTTATGGAAATGTTTTACAATGATAACAAAATATATTGAATCCACGAAATGCAAGGAATCGTTTTGATTTCCTCATGGACATTGCTCTCTACCTGGGACCAGAACATTCACTGAGCACATTCAGAGAAATATACATAATATGCATGTTTTTCTCAGCATTTCTCTTCATAAAGTTATCTATGCTCATTGCACTGAAGATTAAACTATTCAGGGAAATAAAAAAGGCCTTTTTCAAAATATTAAGATGAAACAGTCAATCAAGTGTGGAGCAGAATAAAGCATTTCCAGACCCTCGCCTCTGCATCACATCTTAGAAAACTACTGTGGACATACTCCAATTAGAGTGAAGAGCAAGAAAGAGAATGATATAGGGACTAGGAAATGATAGATCTAATCTAAGAAAATATTGCAGGAAACTCAAGGTGCAAATGATTCAGCAGGTACAGGTTGTAATTAGCCAAGGCAGTGGCAGAAATGAGGGAAGGAAGCAGATCCCTCAGGATAGATAGCAGGATAGAAACTCTGGAAGGACATAAAGACTTATAAAGGCAGAGAATACCAGAAAAATAATCTTTCAGAAAAGCCAGAAAGAAAATGTAATGCTAATAGACCTCACTACTTGACTAAGGGATAAACACTATTTATTTATATAATCAGAATAAAAGTTGGTCATTGATTTTCAACTTTAAGAATCAGCCTAGAATGAAAACATGAAAGGTAAGAAATGTTATAAACAGAATGTGAGCATTTTGTATTCTTGAGCCTATAAAAGTGTAGTTAATAGGACTTGACAGGTTAAAGGAGGAAGAGCTGAAAATAAAGGTAGAATTACTAATATTCTCATCTTAGAAAGAAAGAATTCCAGAGATGTTATCTATATGTGGTAAAAAAAGGAGACAGAATTATATTAGTTAAATTTACAAATAGAGGAACTTTTATATATCTATACTAGTATTGTGAGGGGGTGGGTAAAAGGAGAAAGAGTGGTGAGGGCCACCTAAATTTTTATCTCTTCAAATCTAAATTTGTTAAATCACAAAACAGCAGCAGAAGCATATTACTTAGAGGCACTGAGGTAATCATTGGAAGATCTGAAAACATCAGTGGTCAAAATAGTTGCCTTTGAGCAGAGAAATGGGGGAGTGGTAGAAAGAAAACAAGAATAAAAACTTGTTTTTCATTACAAATCTTTCTTATTTTATTTTATACTCCTCTGCATATAGTCTTTGGAAAGAAATAAAATAAAATAAAATAAAAGAAATACTGTGGAAAATAAACAACAAAGCAAATCTGCCAATTTTTCAAATATTCTCATCAAACCTTTATGGTGCATGACTACCATTTGAGTTCCTTGTATTATTTAGACGGAAGCTTCTTAAACCAGGATTTTCTCAGATTTCTTCAAATCCCCATTCTTGCTCATCTATCACTGTGTCCCTTATCACCCCCACTTTTTTCCGTTCCCAGTCATTAGTCTCCTGATTAGTCTGCACTTTCTGCTCCATTTACGGGTAAGTGAATGCTTCTGCTAAATACACTCATCTCCAGCATTGCAGTGTGCCCGGTTTCCCTTGCCTAACTGGTCAGCAGGCCATCTGGAACTGGGAAGAATCTGATATTAGAAATTGTGAGGTAGAATCAGGTCAACCAGCAAATGACCGGTACTGGAAACTATCCACATGGGGGAAAGGCCAAGGCTAGAGCTGTAGAGTGAGTCTGGCAAGGCGCAATCTTGAAGACCACTTTCAGGGGTGGGAGATATTCTGCAGAAAGCAAAATCCCCTAAAGCTTTTGCATTGCTTACCACCTTCCCTTGGTCAGGATCATAGAAACGCTCCAACAGCTGGACACTGGTGCTTTTGCCACATCCACTGCTTCCAACAAATGCCAGTGTTTGCCCTGGACTAACCGATATTGAGAGCCCATTCAGAACTTGTACATCAGGTCGAGAGGGATATGTAAATTTACAGTCAACAAAGTCAATCTGCCCCTGGAAGTTATCCTGTGGATGGGAAGATTGGAATTATAAATATACCTACTAGAATCTAGAACATGGAAAATTCAACTAAACCTGAGTTTTAAATCCCTGCTTAAGATACCTTTAGCACCATGCTGCCAAAGTGCAAAGCACAAAGACAGCTATTTAATGAATTCCCTATTCCATCAGGTGCAGAATAAAGGGAGGTTTGAGCCTTTATTCTCAAATTAAAGATATGTGAGCTCTTATTCCCATTCTAACCTAAGGGATTTCCTTGTCATCCATTACTTGACATTCTGGAAGAATGTCAAATGGAAAAGAATAGCTAGAATATAGGATTACATCATAGAAGCCAGGAATTGTCCAAACCCTCTAGCTCTGTTCCCCCAAAGATTTCAAATAATAGCATTACACTTGAAATGCCTAAGCCCTGTACTGCAAACGTGAATACCTTCAGTTGCACTATCTGAATTATGAATTCTAGAAATGGATAGATATGTAATAGGCCACACAGAGACGTTACTTTTATTGGACTAAAAGAGAAACAGGTCATTTGATCAATTTAAAAAGATTTCTGAATTTAGTTTAGCTTTACAAAAGTTTAGATTTGTTTTGCTCTCCTGAACATTTTAGGATATTTGAAAACAAACAGAGAAGATTAAAAACTGCCTATGGAGACTATAAATTAGGAGAAGAGATATTTTGTTAAGATCAAATTAATTTTCTAGCCGCCCATATAATAAGCTAAAACTTGAACACAGATAAACATGAATTACAACAATATCACTGGACAAGAAAAACTGGTTTTTCTACATTCCATCCCTGAACATCAGCAGAAAACATGGTGTTTGGGTAGCTTCATTATTCTGGAACTAAGTTGTTTTATAGTACCCAGAATTTAGTATTCACTGGATCTTGTTGTTTTCTTCAAATGTCTGCTTTATAAATAATTTTTAATGCTAATTTACTTCATTTCTTTACATTTATAAATCTGTCTGTCCATTCTGAGTGCATATGAATGAACCCATGTGCTGCAGGAATTTAGAAGCTATGTGGGGGTGGTGTATGATCAGCCCCAATAGCTGTTCTTCACAAGCACATAAGCACAGCCCTCCCCTACTGCCCTCATACCTCCATCTCAGTACTTACCCATTTTACACCTGCACCACTGTATACATTGATTGGGGGTCGTCGGTCCAGCAGTTGAAAAAAGCGTGCAGCTGATATCTTAGCTTTGGCATAACTTGGGGTGTAAGAGTAGGCTTTTCCAAGAGCTGTCCCACTCAGTACAACTGAAGAGATCACCCTGCAATCGGATAGACACCCATGTAGAGAGGAATGTGGTGTGTTTGGTGTGAGGGCCTGAAAGGCAGGAGTTTGGGGGTCTAGTCCTGGTTCTGTTAGCAAAGAACTGAGCAACCTTGGACAGGTCACTTTAGACTTGTCTGGGGAGCTAGGGTTGGAGAGATTAGCAGTGTTCAAATTGTGTACTATGAGAAAAGGGTGAGGGGAGGATTAAACAAGAGAATCTCAGACATCCCAACCCTGCTTCAATTATAATAACTTCTTTTTTTTTTTAAATGTGTTTGAAAAAAGAGTTCTTAAAAAAAAATAAAGGGGGCATAAAAATCACCAGATTGGGTTAATTTCTTTTTTTACAATGCTAACATTTTTTGAACCTATCATAAGTGCATAAAAGAATGAATGGTGATTAATGCATCAATCTGTACCAAGCATGCATATAATTCATGCTTCAGACAGTAAAAGAAAGATATAATTGCCTGTATCCTTTTATTTGGCCCAGCTCCTAACTATATTCAACATATAGTGTGTAATTAATGAGCAAATGAGTGAATGAGTGGATGAATAAATGGAAGATGAACATGGTAAGAGATAGCTCTGTTACTATATACATTATGATACAATGGGCACCCTGAAAAGTTGTCCCAAGCACAGAGGACCTGCCTCCATAGTGGTAGGGGGCAGTGTCTTCATGTGTCTGATAGCTCAGTTCATAAGCAGGAACTGTTTTAGGCCAGATTTGCAAACCCAAACATCTCCAGGAGGCCAGTCCGAAGTTTAAAGCAATGAGAAGCAACTGGAATGAAATGGGAAGTGGTGGAAGGTGATCTAAAGAGAAGCCAGAAATTAGGAGCTTTCAAGAGTCTCTGAGTTTTTACATGTTGGCTAATAAATAACTCTTCAAAAATCTTATATAAACTAAATAAATCACCAGTTTGTGATTCAGGATTTAAGTTAGTAAATGAGCAAAAATTTAGAAAAGAGACTTTCCTGGTTGGGGTCAGGGTAATGGGGCAAGAGAAAAAAAAAATTCTTCTATGTTGAATATCAAAGGCAAGAAGACAGAACTCATGACTTGGGAATGAACCCAAAAGGACAGATTTCTATTAGGACCACTTTCCTTAATGCTTTCCAGGCCTTTCTCATACCATTTCCCCCTACCACACTTATGCCCTCCCACCCTCCACAGCACACCCATATACATGTCCCTTGGTGTCCTGACACCCTCAGGCTCTCTCCTCTGGAAATGTGAGAAACTGGACTCAAAGCGAATCTCATAGCAGAGCAGGATCCAGCTTTAAGAAAGGAACATGATTCTCCTGAACTGCCTTTTTCCATCTTCACCTAGAAGGAGTCAGCTGGAAACATGCCCTTTTGGTAAGAAGTAGAGTTCAAATAAGGTAGTTCTCTGAACCATCTTATTCATCCACTCATTCACTCATTTGCTCATTCCAGGCCTCTAGATTTTCTCAGCATTAGCCAGTCTGGTAGATTATGAAAATGGTTCATTCATCCTATTTTTATGTATGCACTCCTTTGCAATATGACTTTTTTACTCCTCTGTGACATGGTGATTTATAATGAGAAACATTTAACTTTGCCCAGTTCCTGACACAGAGCACCTAAGCCCTTGAAATTTCCCATATATGAAGAGCAATCATATTAGTGAAATAACTTTTGGAAAGGGGTGTAACTTTCAGTCTCTTCCACCACATTTCACCTCCAGGGAAAGATACAGGGTCTGAGGGTTCTGAGAGTGGTAAGGTGGGTGGCCTTGTAGGACCATGTCCTTCATGTGTGGGCTCTGATGCTATCTCCAGGCACATGGTGCCAGAATGAAGTTGAGTTGTGGGACTCTGGTGTCAGAAGTGGTGTGTGATAGTAGGTTGAGAATAAAGGAGAAACATATCAGATACTTTCATCAAAAGGTGGACTACAGTTCTCTAGTCTTTAAATATGGGCTTGATTGTGTGACTTTCTTTGGTCAAAGAGATATCCTATATAATAAAAGCCCAGCGACCAAATGGCGGAATGAACAGAACGACCAGTCAACCAGTCACTATGACACACACTGACCACCAGGGGGCAGATGCTCAATGCAGGAGCTGCCCCCTGGTGGTCAGTGCACTCCACAGTGGGAGCACCACTCGGCTGACAGGGATGAATGGCGCTCCCACAGCAGCTGATCCCTGCAGGCCAGGCCCCCACCAGTGCACGAATCCCATGCACCAGGCCTCTAGTTAGAAAATAAGATGCATGCAGACTTGAAAAGTGCTTGCACATTGGGACTTGCTCTCTTTGGTGCACTTGGAACTCTGATAACATAATGTGAAGAAAACAAGCTCACCTACTAGAGCATCCCTGTGGAGACAGAAGCCCACTCAGAAGCTTGACTGTGTTGGCCCAGTCCAGAAGAACCACCCTGAAAATCTACAGAATCTTGAGAAATAATAAATCCCAGCTGTTTAAGACATCCAGTTTGGGATGGTTTTTAAGCAGCAAAAAGCTAACTTACAGAACTAGGCTATTCTTCCCAGAATATTGATCTTTTATGACCTTGGCCTATAGTCCTCACCTGAACACGTAGCTGAAATGGAGCCCCTCGTTGTAGATTAAGTAACCTCCATATCTGTAGGAAGCAGAATTAGCAACAAACACAATGCATTGGGAAAAACCAAAGCAGAATCCATAAACATTTGCTTTTCGAATGGCTGTCTTGAATGGCTTCACCAGCTCTCTCTCAAATGCTTCAATAAACTGCCTCTCCTTTCCAATTCCAGCAATAGTGCGGATATTACTGAGGGCTTCACTTGTAATCTGAAGGATGAAAAAGAGTCTTAGGAATAAAAGAGCAAAAATTACTTTCGTGACATTTCAGCTGCTACATGAATTAGACTATAGTGCAAATGGCAGAATGTGGTACAAATCGCAGACAAAGGATCATCAGGGAACACAGCGAAGTTGTTGGAGATCAACTCAACAGGAATGCAAGACATTCTGCCAGCTGAACTCAAGTTCTACTTCATACTAACATGGCTGTGTTGCTTCCACTTGTGGAAGAGAGGAGATGGGAGATACACATGGTAATCCTTGAAAGCTTTTTATCTTCATCGTTAATTCATTTAAAATGTCTACAATGGGCCTGGCAGGCGTGGCTCAGTGGTTGAGCATCGACCTGTGAACCAGGAGGTCATGGTTTGATTCCCGGTCAGGGCACATGTCTGGATTGCAGGCTCGATCCCCAGTGTGGGGAGTGCAGGAGGCAACTGATTGGTGATTCTCATTCTTGATGTTTCTATCTCTCTCTCTCTCCCTTCCTCTCTGAAATCAATAAAATAAATATATTTAAAAAATGTCTACAATGGTATCTTTAGATGTCTTCTGAGACAAAAGGTTATTTAACATAGCTTCTATTTCCTTAAAAAGTTAATCTGACCAAATATTATTTAAGTTAAATTAAGTGTAAAGTTTATCTTTTGGTTTATACTCTGACTTTGTTTCAATCCATACTCAGGGTAAATAATCAGCTTCTGAATTAGGGTCCTGTCCTAAACAAAGACACAACCATTGGCATATGAAATCCTTTTGGCTTCTGCCTGCTTAGGCAGTGTTCACATTCACTCTTTTAAAAGAGGCAAAACCTAGATTATAGTAAATTTGCTTAAAGAGTAAGGGTGTGTATGTGCATGATTTTTATACTTAATAAATGTCCATGCTGCCATTCCCTCATTTGCTCCTGATAACCAGATATTAATTCGAACATACTTTTAAAAGTGCATAACTAAGCTTGGCCAATGTTGCTCAGTGGTTGAGCATCCACCCAGGAACCAGGAGCTCACAGTTGATTTCTGGTCAGAGCACATGCCCAGGTTGCAGGCCCAATCTCTGGTGGGGGGCATGCAGGAGGCAGCTGATCAGTGATGTTTCTCTCTCATTGATGTTTCTATCTCAATCCCTCTCCCTTCCTTTCTCTTTAAAAATCAATAAAAACATATTTTTTTAAAAAGTGCATAACTAAAACTTAATTGTATTTGAAATCTAAGTTGTACCTCATGGTTCTGTTTAGGAAAGACATTTGCCACAAATCTAGCAGGCATTAAAGTGTGAAATTAAAAGTTTGTGCCATTAAAAAGATAACTCTTCTCCAAGTGGGCTGCATGACCTGGGGAAGTCATTAAGATGAAAAAACTGAACAGACAGAAAGCTGAACTATCTGGTCTTGCAAATGAGAATACACCAGACTGGGATGTGGGAAAAATAACTATACTGAGAGGAAATTGAACATGTAACCAAATTGAATATGCCCCACTAACTGTCCACACCTACTCAAACCCTGTGTCAGAACTTGATTGTCACAGCCTTTGAGCAGAGGCACATATGAAAAGGGCTAGTGGGAAGTTGCTAACCATGAAAGTTGTAGGTGAACAGTGTCCTAAGTCTCTTTGTACTACACACCCATTCTTATAACAGTGACAGCCATTCAGCCATAGTCGGTCTAAAAACCGGGTCCGTAAGGTTACCTGTCCCGCCGACTCCAAAGCCTGCTTGTCTTGAGAGGCAAATCCTGTCAACATTCTGGTCTGTACGGCTCCCGATAAAGCCAGGAAAGGGAGGAAACATACTATGACCAAGCTTAACTTCCAGCTACAGAAGAAGGCAATGATCATGGCCACAGTGATGTTAGTGAGGGAATTGACCATCATCCCGATTTGAGAGCCAGCAGCCTGCAAACCAAAAGCAATCAAGCAAGCTCAGACATGGAGTCTCTTTTACCAAATACCATCACGTGACAAAGCTATTTTATTCCAAAAAGATTGTTTTTAAAAAATTATTATGATAAAAATAAAAATAGCATCATGTTTATTATTTTATCCATTCATAAGTGTACAATTCAATGGCATTAAATACATTCACATTGTTGTGTAACTATCACCATCATCTATACCCCAAACCTCTCATCATCCCCAACAAAATTCTGTGCCCATTAAATAATAGTCCCCATTCCTACCTCTCCCAAACCCCTGATAAGCTCTATTCTATTTTCTGTATTTATGAATTTGCCTTTTCTAGGTACCATGAATAAGTGAAATTATATAACATATTTCTGTGTCTATCTTATTTTACTAAGCATAATGCTTTCTAGGTCTATTTGTGTTGTAGCATGTATCAGAATTTTATTTCTGGTTTTAAATCAAAGTATAGTTAACATACAATAGTATATTAGTATTTGCAACATAGGGATTTAACATTTAAATATCTTTAAAAGAATCACCATGATAAATCTAGTAAGCATCTATCTATCACCATATGAAGTTATTATATCCCCTATGTTGCACATTACATCCCTATGACTTAGTTTATAACTGAAAGTTTTACCTCTTAATTCCCTTCACCTATTTCACCCATTCCCCCATCTCCTTCTCCTCTGGCAACCATTAGTTTGTTTCTTATATCTGTGAGTCTGTTCATGTTTTGTTTCGTTTATGCATTGGTTTTGTCTTTTAGATCCCACGTATAAGTAAAATTATATGGTATTTGTCTTTGTCTGACTTATTTCACTTAGCACAGTACTTTCTAGGTCCATCCATGTTGCTGCAATTGGCAGTGTTTCGTTATATATTATATATTTTTAATCATCTGTTGATGGACATTTAGGTTGCTTTCATATCTTGGTTATTTTAAATAACGCTGCAATTAAAGGGTGCGTATATCTTTTCAAATTTCATTTTCTTTGAATAAATATCCCGAAGTGGAATTGCTGGGTCATTTCTTTTAAAGCTGAATAATATTCCATTGTATGTATAGACCACACTTTGCTTATCCATTCATCTGTTGATAAACACTTGGGTGTTTTCACCTTTTGGACATAACAAATAATTCTGCTATGAATATTGGTGGACAAATATTTGTTTGTGTCCCTGCTTTCAATTCTTTTGGATATATATCTAGGAATGGAATTACTGGGTCATACGGTAGTTCTATGTTTAAAAAAGTAGGTTATTTTAAATAATGGGCTTCCCAATGCATTTGAAGGCTAGATTAATAAAAATTTATTTTATTCACAGCTTCTTGGGATCTGTTGCCTGATCTCATTTCACGGGTGTCAGAGCTAGAGTAGGCAGTGTGAGATTAATTCAGTCCTAAACATGGGCTGCATGTCTTTCAGGTATTTATGCATTTGGCTTCCTTGAAAATACTCATGCATTGGGCTTGTGGTAATATTACTTATTATTCAGTGAAGATTGATGCTTGCTCTATAATTACCATTTTGGAATTCATACAAGACTATGAAAAGACACCACTTTGATTCTCACTAAAGTTAGCCTGCTCATTGGTACAAACTACATGCTGACTTAATACACAGATGTTTAGCCAACACAGGGAGACAAAATGGATTCGGTCTCAATATAGGTAGAGATTGGAGCAATTGTGGTGATTACTTATATTAATCAAAAGTATTCAATTGTTCCAAGTCTTCATTTCACTTGCAGCTATGCAAATATGACCAAAGGTTGGTGCCTTCTGTGTAAAAAAAACACGTGGGTGGGTACAAGTACAGGACTGCTTTTCAAAATTGAAGAGACTTTAGTATTATTTAAGGCAACCAAAAGTAAGCTATTAGGCAACCATGGGTGCTAAGGCAGTGCTATTAAAAAATAGTCTGCATCTTCATACTGTATGCAAGACCCAAACAGAATATGAACACTGTGGTCAAAAAGTTTCCATGTGTTGGTACTAACTGCCTTGAAGACAGGAATAAATCTAAATTAAGAATTTCTTATTTGCATACCTATGTTCATAGCATCATTATCCACAGTAACCAACGTGCCTATCTATGGAGGAACAGACAAAAAGTTGGTCTACATATGCAATGGTATATTATTCACTCTTAAAAAAGAAATAAAAGTATGACACATTTCACGATATGGAACCATGAAGACATTAAGTAAAAGAGGCCAGTTACAAATAGACAAATTTTGTATGATTCCACTTGTATGAGGCTTTTAGAATTTATAGAGACAGAGTAGAATGTGGTTATCAGGGGGTGGAAGAACATTGGGAAGTTATTGTTTAATGGGTCCGGAGTTTCTATTGGGCTGATTAAAAAGTTCTGGATATGAATAGTGGGGATAGTTGCAAACAAAGAATGTGCTTAATGCCACAAAATTGTATGCTTAGAAATGACTAAAATGGTAAATTTTATGTTATGTATATTTTACCACAATTTTTTAAACAAGAATTTCTGATTGGAAAGAACTATCAGGCATTATAGAGAATTTGAAAACCAGCTGTGCAATTTTTCTTTGGGATATTATTTTGTTTCCTTTTACATTTTATTCAATTAAAGAAGTCAAGATGTTTTGAAAGTTCACTTAGAATAATCAATGTCCAGGAAAAGATAAAGAGAACATTTTGAAGAAGAACATCATTGTGCAGAGATTTGCCTTACCAGATAATAAAAACTTACAATAAAGTTATAATAATTAAAACAGTAAGGGTCAGGCACAGAATAAATAAAATTGGCCAATGAAATAGAATAGAAAATCCCCATATAGTTCTAATTGTACATGGGAGGTTGATATTCACAATGGGCAGGAGGATTTAAAATCAATGGAAAATAGAATTTATATTAAATATTTTAAAAATATTTCTATCCATTTTGAAGGAAAAACAAACTTCTACCTTACACCAATATGAAAGTAAATTTGACCTGGGTTAGTAATCTCATTTTTAAAAAATATTAGAAAAACTCTTAGAAACCTTTTATTTAAAGGATAAATAACATTTTTGTGAGATGATTAGATACTACCCTCTGAATTCTAGCGAGAGTGAATAACCTTTAAGAGCCCCTTGCAGATTAAAGGATACAAAAATGGAAAAGAGTATGATTTATTTACATAACCCAAGTTTAAGAGTAAGGTGAATGAGACACTAGAATACTCGGATGATGAGAGTGAAATTGGTACAGACTTTCTCTAAGCAGTAAGACATGCTTATTAAACCTTTCAAAATGAGTATACTTTCAGTATAAGCCAATGATTACACTTTGAGAACAAAGAACAATGAAGGATGTGCTAAACTACTTAAAGAGGCTTCTTCCCACACACTTTGCCTCCACCCTGAGAGGAAATCCAAAACCCTGATATATTTTGACTCATGCTATAAGATTAGTTCTGGGCACTGCCTGTTTCTCAGCATTGGAAATGCAGGGAAATGTGGCTCTGGGATATCCCAATCCTGCAAGGTCCTATTTCATAGGAAATACATAGGTGATTGTCTGAAGGCTCAAAAGAAAGAAAATGTACTCCAGGTACAACAGCCCTAGCACATACCCTCTACACCCCCACCCTGTCCATAGCTTACCCCTTGAACTTGGGAAGCATCTGTAGCAAGCCTTGTTGTCAGTGCTCCAGGGCTATTTCGGAGGTCATCAAACCAGCCAATGTCTTGCCCCAATATTGCTCTGAAACCAAATTTACGTAGCCTTTTTGTGAGGAGTTCTCCAGATTTAGCAAAAGCGTATCCCTAAAACATAAAAGAGTTTTTAGTGATATGTTAACAGGGAAAAGAGGGAAATAGCTCAATCACTTATTTTAAAATAAAATTCCTTACCTGCAGAAATTGAGTGCAAAGGGATACACAGCCCATTGCTACAAAAAGCAGGCACACACCATTGATCTGTGACCTTTGTTCTTCTTTATCAGGAAGTGAAAAAGTCTTTGCAAGACAGTAAGCAAGAAAGTAACTTTATTATTACCAAAAAAAATCAAATTTCTTTTAGAAATTTCTCTTAAGCATTGAGTTAAAAACTATTTCACTTTAAACATTAAAGTGATTCATGTTTACCAGTAATTAAACCAAAGTTAACTTTGAGTGTGTGTACTTTAATTCCCCGTGGGGGAAGGAAGCCTGGAGAATGAAAACCAATGGTTATGATTGACAGAATTTTTGTCTTGTTTCTTTACCTGATGTAGGCAATTGTGTTGGATTTCCTTTGAAATAGATGAAAAACTGTTATGAAATGCCTCAAATCTTTTATGTAATTAGGTAAAGTAAAGGAAGGAAGGAAGGAAGGAAGGAAGGAAGGAAGGAAGGAAGGAAGGAAGGAAGGTAGGTTACTTGAAAATCTGAGACTGTTATCTGGGACACAACTCAAAGTATTATGACCTCTGTCTTTCTTCAATAATAAATGCAATAAAGATGATGTTCCCACTCAGGTACATTGCCTGTTATTAGTTTTTTAGAATATATATATATATCATTAAAAAAGCAACTAGCTATCAAGGTATTGACTGGAATTGGCTTAGGAGAGAAAAAAGTTTCCATCCATCTGAGGCTGAGGTTGTTGGCTCTAAATCACCAGACGCTGAAAACATTCCTTTCAAAAAACTATGAAAATTGTGAGTGGGTTTTCTTAGCCTATAGTAAGTAGTAAACTATACTCACAAGTACCTGTATTCTGCACTTACAGACATATGCTCAAGTAATGGACTGGGGACTAAGCTGTTGCAATAAGAAAATGAAGAGAACCACATATTCTAATGACATTGCCCTACAGTGAAAGGGGTTTTAGGTACAACACCTTCCTAATTCAGACTAAATGAGGGAACTGGAGAGTTCAGAAAAAAGCATACTTTATAGAGCTGTACAAAAAATCCTTATTTATTGCTCAAGGGCAACCAGTTATTCAATAAATATTTACCGCTATATACCAAATAAATATCCTGAAAACAATGTATACTACTCCATTAACAGATCCTTTTTTGTAAAGCCAACATAACCCATTCTTTTAAAAAATATATTTTTTTATTGATTTCAGAGAGGAAGGGAGAGGGGGAAAGGGATAGAAACATCAATAATGAGAGAGAATCATTGGTTGGCTGCCTCCTGCATGGATCAAATCTGACCAGGAATTGAACTGTGACCTCCTGGTTTATAGGTTGACACTCAACCACTGAACCATGCCGGCCAGGCCAAAGTAACTAGTTCTAAATATCATAAATTCCAAAGTGGGAAAAGGGTTCCAGATGAATGAGATTTACTGTTTCTAGGACAGAAAGTTTCTAGAGCCTTCATGGTTCTTTATACAAGTAAAAGTGGTTTCAGGAGTCACCACCGTCATTCTCCCAGCATAGACTAGCTCACATTTTTACTTTATAAAGTTTTAAAATTCAGGACTTTAAAGATATATTTCAGTTTGCTTTTTTAAAGCACTATACAAATCCCCTGCAAACCCAAATTGTGAGGACACGATGTCCATTCCTCCCTAAGGTCACCTATTATATTCACAGACTATAGTATAGAGCTGTAGATTATCCAGTTTCACTCTTATTTTCCAGATGGAAAACTAAAGCCAAAACATCACATCTTTTTTTTGCAAGTTCATGTAGCTTGTGTCCAGAGCAAAAAATGATCATCTATCTATCCATAACCTTTTAAAATAACATTCTGCCCCATGAGTTCTTTGTACTTTCTTTGTTCTTGCAACTTAAAGGGCTATCCATCAATAGGTTCCTCTGTTCTTAGACTAGTGGCTTGGGCATACGTCAGTGCCACTCTTTTAATGGAAATCCCCTTACAGTGAAAACAAACATTCACTACACTCTTGCTATTTGCCAGATGCCAAATGTGTTGCTTAACCTAATTTAACTTGTAAGGACTTCCTTAAATTGGGATTCTTAACACGACTCAGTGTGGTAGATTTTCTTGCCCCATGTAATAGATGAGGAAACTAAGGCTCATCAAGGAGAAGCCCTTTGCCCAAATGCACAGAGTTCAGAGCAAACACTACTACAAATCCAGGGATAGCTGACTCCACAGTTCATGCTTTCCCTATCCAAATTGCTGCGCTTGGAACACTTGGCACATTTTCCAAGTCAAAAAGACCCAGGGAATGTGAGTCAGATAAATTATGCCTTACATGTATATTGAGGCTTCACTAGATTAGCAATCACGCTCCTAGTAATACCCAATAATTTGCTGAGTCCATGTGCCAAACTATGGTCTCAATACACTAAATGTGAACATTGTGCCCTTTACATATGTCAGAATGAAAATAGAGCCATTAAAAGCAGACTATTATCTGACTCATGATTATAAAAATATCATAAATCTACAGATGACTATGTGATAATTATACTAAGAGACAAACAGAAACAATCTTTATTACCAGAGGAAAAATAGTAGTTTGTTTAGCATCATTCTCTTAGCAAATATAACTCTGTGAGGATATTAACCATGAGAAGACTTTGGATTTCACCAACTAGACCAAGACCCTGCTACTCTCATCCTGCAGCCCTTAAGTGAAAAGCTCAATAGCTTGGGTTAAGTTTTTCCTAAGATTTCTGGTTGTGACCAGAAGAATCACAGAGAATATTCTCACCACCAATAAATGGTGGGTGCTCTAGGAGGGCAGGGTTTATAGATGAATAATCAAGTTTTTTTCTGTCTTGGCCATTTCATTGATCACTAGAGCTGGAAGGTATCTTAGAAATTATCTTAGTCAGTCCTTCATTTTAAAGTTCAGGAAACAGAAGCCTAGAAAAGTACTATGATGGGATCCCATATGACTTATGAAGCCCCCCTCCCTCCACATACCCCCCTCACCCCCCGTTATGGCAGTGAAGGGCTCTGGTTAGTTTTCTATGGAAATTGATGAATTCTACACCAAAAGCAATAATAATAATAATAATAATAATAATATAAATAAATATAGTATTTTATAAATAACTAACAGAGCCAGTTTCAGAAGTAAAGTCTCCTGACAGGAAAACCAGATTCTTTCCACAGTAGTTCATATATAGGATGAAGTTTGGTGAGTATATTCCTTACTTTGCTTTTATAAAACAGAAGGAAATGATCAGCAAAGATGCTGACCTCCTGGATTTATTTTAAAAACAAACATCTAGGGCAGTGATGGCGAACCTATGACATGTGTGTCAGAGGTGACACGTGAACTCATTTTTTTGGTTGATTTTTCTTTGTTAAATGGCATTTAAATATATAAAATAAATATAAAAAATATAATCTTTGTTTTACTATGGTTGCAAATATCAAAAAATCTCTATATGTGACACGGCACCAGAGTTAAGTTAGGGTTTTCAAAATGCTGACACGCCGAGCTCAAAAGGTTTGCCATCACTGATCTAGGGCATAGTCTTGAGTCTTTATAGGTTCAAATCTATCCCCTGCACCTTCTACATCTACATCACTGCTAAGTACAATGCATTTCCAGAGCTTCTCGCTACTAGAATATCAGCTTTATGAGAGCAGGAAGGGGCTTTGATTTTCTTGTTCACCACTCTGCTAGTCCCAAAACCAGCCACAGTGTCTGATAAACAATAAGTGATCAATAAATGTTTGTTGAATAATTATATTATGAGTGGATTTTTTTTTGTTTAATGCCTGTCTTCCTCAGAGACTTAAAATGCCATTAAGGAAGACACCATGACTGATAACTGCATTTCCAAGTTCTTAGCACTGTGTCTAGGGCAGATAACAAATATCTGTTGAGTGAACAAATATTTCTATTATTTTAGGATATTGCACTTAGTATACATTAAGATATATAAATTAATTATTTAAAAGATTTTCAGCATAAAGGTTTTACATAACTAGAATTTCAATTTACCAGAGTTGAAGATCCCCTGTGTTTTCAATGACCTCTCTCCCTGAAGTGAACATGATTTCCTCACTGACCACAAGGGGGCAGTGTGAAAACTAAAGCCCAGGCTTGGGCCCTCCCTACACGATTGACGATTTTGTCTGTGGACTAGCCAGGTCTTTATGTACAACTTATGCCTGTTGGGACATTTTTTCTGGTCAGGAGCTCTGCTAGAGAGACAAGGAGGGGGGGGGGGGGAGAGAGAGAGAGAGAGAGAGAGAGAGAGAGAGAGAGAGAGAGAGAGAGAAAGAGAAAGAGAAAGAAAGAGAAAGAGAGAGAGAACAGACACAGAGACAGAATAACTAAAATTTAGGACTCCTACTAAGCTCTGACAATGTGGTGTGCTGGCAAATCCTTTAGTCTAGGCTTCTGAAAGGCTGGGTTCTAGTCCTGGCCCCATCACTTAATGCCTGTGTTACCTTGAACAAGTTAATAAAGTTCTCTAGATTCTAGGTTTGCCTTTCTGTTGACCTCACAAGATAGTATGTGTGTAAATTACAACTAAGAAAACTTGATATCATTTTGATAAATAATTTTGCAATGATAAGGTTTTATTAGAACCTGACTCTATAGAAACACTGCTTCAATTTGAATCTTAGATTCACTACTTGCTATCCTAAGTTCTCTGTGCCTTGGTTTGCTCCTGTGTAAAATGGGAACAATAGGAATACCTATTGCAGATGGTTATTAGGAGAGGTTAATGTGCTGTTATATGACAGTGGTTAGCTAGTGTCTACTGTTCGTAGTTATTTTTTATTATAGCAATGAAGTCAGATGGAGAATATTCAAAACATCTAGGAAGTGAAAAACTGACATAAATGTAATCTTTTCCCATTCCTATTTTACTTTACTCTCCTTTCCCCATTTTCTCTCTAATCAGCAGGAAGGCAGCGTATTACACAACGTACTCTAACACTTGCTATTATAAGTAAAACTTTGTACCTCAGCTGTTCAGCAAGATAAAAATAGCCCTAAAATTCTTTTGTATTATTCAACAAACCTGTTTGCATTCTGATGTGGTTTGCATGTAGGTTAATTGCCCTCTTCTAACATTAAATTTGTAGCCTTAATGCAGTTTTACAGACTTGATGACGATGAGTGTCCTGCCAGCCCAAACGGCAGTGCTCAGCTTCGCCTTCTTACCTTCTGTGTGATGCGACACTTGAGGCATTTTAATTCTTTAGAGATGAGAAAAAAACTAAACTCGTTACCTGGTAAGTAAAGAGCCAACCTATCAAAAACAACAATATCCACTGATAGAAGCACCAAAGGTAAGGAGAATAAAGATAGTCCAGCCGTTTGCTTACCCCAAGAATCTGGCTGAATAAAAAGGCATAGAGGGGTGTGACTGCCCCATTGACAGCGGCACCCACAGACCCCACCACCATGTAGGGCCATTCTGGAGCATTGAGTTTCAGAATCCTCCGAACCGGGGCAGGTTCAATTTCTTCTTCCACAGGAATGTTCTTGTCCTTGAGGGGAAAGAGGGTTAGATTAATCATTCAAATGTACACACAGACACTTTTTTACATACTATTTTTTTATATAGCAGACCCTTTAGCACTCACAGGTGGAAGAGTCATGTTTTGACTGGTTATGAGTGACCTCAAAGATCTGTGAGGAGTGGTGATTTGTTATTTTGTGAGGACTGGTTTTAAATTTCTTGAGACCCAGCTGTCACTGGAAGGAAGGAGCCCGGAGGGGCTACTCGTCTGAAAGTGACTTTTACAGTTCTCATTTCACAATTGCACATGCATTGACTCTTGGGGAGTAATCAATATGTTGGATCTTTGAGGAAAATAAACTCCTGATTTAAAAAAAAATATTTGTGTTATAGTAGTATTTACATATTTGAGGACTTTTGAAATTTTCAAGGCTCCCAAGGCAAGCCAGTGTATCTAAAACAGAGGCAAAATAACTTGAAATTTGTGAAGCTGTGTCAACAATTCTCATTTACATGTTTTCTGTAAGGTTTACCTCAATTAGTACCCAAAATTTAACTGTAATCTATTTGGATTTCTTAATTTCACATTTTCTTCACAAGGAGTGAAGATTATTTTAATATTTTCCTATTCTGATTTTTTTTTATTTGCCATTAAAGTGTCATAGCTAGCAAATTTTTATCTTCTTGAAGGCAAATATTATATTCAAAACCTCATTTTTACCATCATTTTTCCTTGGCTATAGATATTACTCAGTGCTTTGTCTTAGGCCCATGTATTCAATAATTTTTAAATTTATTACCCACCTTATTTGAGAAAGGATTTTAGGTGGCTTATATAGATCTATAATAATTTTTTATTTTCTTCTATTAAAATACACTATATACACTATATTATATATAGTGTATATTGCATGTACCTGTCCAATTTTCCCAGCACCATTTATTGAAGAGACTGTCTTTACTCCATTGTATGCTCTTGCCTCCTTTGCCAAATATTAATTGAGTGTAATGGCTTAGATTGATTTCTGGGTTCTCTGTTCTGTGTCATTGATCTATATGCCTATTCTGTGTCAGTATCAGCTGTTTTGAGTACAGTGGCTTTGTAGTATAACTTGATATCTGGTATTATGATTCCTCCAACTTTGTTCTTCTTTCTCCAGATTACCATTGCTATTTGAGGCCTTTTTTGGTTCCATATAAATTTTTGAGTATTTGTTCTAGATCTGTGAAATATATTGTTGGTATTTTAATAAGGATTGCATTGAACCCATAGAATGCTTTGGGTAGTATGGACATTTTAATGATGTTGATTCTACCAATCCATGAACACAGTATATTCTTTCACTTGTTTATATCTTCCTCTATCTCTTTTTCCAATGTCCTGTAGTTTTCTGATTACAGGTCTTTTACCTCCTTGGTTAAGTTTATCCCTAATATCTTAATTTTTCTGTTGCAATGGTAAATGGGATTTTTTTTTTTTTTTTTTTTTTTTTTTTTTAGTTTTTCTTTCTGAGAGCTCATTATTGATGTATAAAAATACCGTCGATTTCTGGATGTTAATTTTGTATCCGGCTGCATTGCCAAATTCACTTATTAAATCTAGTAGGTTTTTGGTGTAGTCTTTAAGGTTGTCTATGTACAATATCATGTTATCTGCGAATCATTTACACCATGGAATCCTATGCAGGTGTAAAGAAGGAGGATCTCTTACCATTTGAGACAGCATGGAGAGACCTGGAAAGTATGCTAAGTGAAATAAACTAGTCAAAGAAAGATAAGTATCACATGATCTCACTCATATGTGGAATCTAATTAACAAAATAAATTGCTGAGCAATATAGATCCAGAGATATAGAAGCATGGAACAAACTGATGAATCTCAGAGGGAAGGTGGGGGTTGAGGGGTGGGTGAGGAGATATTAACCAGGGAACTTATATGCATATATGCATAGTCCATGGACACAGACAATAGTGTGGTGAAGGCCTGGGAGGGGCAGGTGCGGGGTGGAAGGGGTCACTGGGAAAAAAAAAGAACAGGACATCTATAATACTTTCAACAATGACGATAAATTTTAAAAAATAAAGGGGAAAAATATATAACACACATAGTAATGTACCCTTTTCGTAGCTGAATATAATGAACATACAACAGCAAGGAATTTCAAATGCTTTCCTTTTGCTTATAAAATCAAAGATCATAATACCAATTCAATTTAAATAAAAGCTTGTATCATGTCTATGTCATTATAGTTGCAAGCCAGATAGGATGGAGGAAGGCAGCTTAGCTGGAGATGGATGTGTTACTGCCTTCATTTCAAGTTCTCTCTTGGCCTGCCTTCAACATTTGCACTTGTCATTACTACTCTCTCCTGCAGCAAGTCCTTCTGTTCGATGGTTTTATTTCTGACAGCTTACTAACTCCAGGAATCAATGCCAGAGAGGAAGAAAGGAGCCTGGGAAAGCTGAGTGGAATAGGCATAGAAAGAACAGGATTCTTGGACAAGCCACACACAACCAACAATGAGATGTATTACTGAGCGCTTGAGTTTTTTGAGTCTCAGTTACCTGATCCTCAAAATGAGAAAGTTAGACTAAGTTATTTTGAGGAGGCAGTTCTCCAAAACATGGGTCTCTCGTGTTTCTGCACATCTTGTGAACAGAAGCACTGACTCCCTTTGTTCAGACTATTTTTTCAAGGAAGTTTGTATAGCAAATAGCCTTGGAGGACACAGATGGTGTCTCCATCCCCAGAAAAGGGCAGGTGTGTTTACTGCCCATTACGAGTCAGGCTCCTTAAGCCCGAGATTCCTCTCCCTTCATTGATGGGTATCATCTGGCCCCCTGTGCATCACAGACCAGGATTTCCCAAGTCAGGAGCTGAGACCTCCCTTGCTTTCCTGATGTCCCCTGGAAGAGGCCATTTTCCAAAGTGATGCAATCTTTTTGTTGTTGTTAATCCTCACCCAAGGATATTATTTCCACTGATTTTTAAAGAATGGATGGGAGGAAGGGGGGCGGGGGGAGAGAGAGAGAAATACCGATGTTAGGCACATTGATCCTGACTGGGGCCGGGGATGGGACCTGCAACCCAGGTACATATGCCCTTGACAGGGAATCAAACCCATGTCTCTTCAGTGTGTGGCCAAAGCTCTAACCATTTGGCACCACTGGCCAGGGCAAAGTGATGGAATCTTTCAATGCCATTGGACCTCGACATAATTCAGCTTAGGGAAAGTGGGGGTTGGGCTAGGGAATCAGTGAGGTAAACGCTATGTTCTTGCTACTGCCGTTGCTCTAACAAAACCGCTTGTCTCTGACTCAGGTCTGTTGTGTATTCTGCCAGCGTCCATGAAATTGTGTCAGCCTAACTTGATAACTTGCAATAGAGCAAACATCAGACTCCTCACAGTTCTCAACAGTGGTTGGTGTCCAGATTTGGATGCATACTAAACTCATGTGGATCTTTGATTAAATACACCGATTCCTGGGTCCCATCACCAGCTATTCTAATTTAGTCAGCCTAAGTATGAGTGTGTGTTTTAAAAAAATACTCCTCAGTTAATTCTGGTGACAAAGCCCATTTTGTGAGATCCTCAGCAGTACTAATACCCCTTCCAGCACTAATGTCTGTCATTCCGTGACTATACATTTTGTCAGTCTCAGCTAGAACAGTAAAGTCTAATGTTTCCTGGACCAGCTCCCCACAGAATGCTCCACACATAGCCTTACATGACAGAAATTTCTCTGCCCTTCTGATACCTGAAGATTTCTCCAACCCTAAACAACAACATCTAAGGCATTGAAAGGCAATATGAGGTAACTCTGCGTAGTAGCTCTCATTCCAAGATAAACTAACAAGAACCAAAATTTAACTAATTTGAATAATTTTCTTTTGTCTATTTTATTAAAAGTTGGACTTTAAAGGACACTGTCCTCTGACCCCCCCCCCCCCCCCCAAAGAGTGAGTATCAAGATTGAATGATGAAAAAACGAAGAAATCTGTCCCTGGGTAATTTACTTTTGATTGACTTTTATTTGGTGTAGCTAAAGGCATAGTAAAAGAATAAAACAAAATATAATTATGTGTGGAATGTTTTTCTCTCTGATTTTGTAAATCTACCAATAAATTTACTCATCCAAAAAAAGCTAAAGATAAATTAAGATGACTAAAGGAAAGATGAATAAATTCATGGCAAACCAGTAACTGAAAGAGAGCGATAAAATTATAAAAATGCATGTGTTTCCTCATTGCAGAGTTCCTGCCTCTGTGGTAGCAACGTCAAGTTGCACAGTGCTCATTTGTTTATCATATGTAAAGAAGTATCCTGCTAGCAACTCCAGTGCATGGAGAAGGGCAGTGGCCCCCACTCATCCTTGCATCCCTAACACAATACCTCGCACATAATAGATGTGCAATAAATGTTTAATGGATGAAACCTACTATGTTGATGGTTAAATGCTAGACACTGGGCTTTTCTCAGTTTCCTTCCTTCCATCTCCTTGTATAGGTTAGGTGAAAATATAAGTTCCTATTTAAATTTTATGCCCTTCTATCTATATTTTGTTTTGCTGGTTTCTGCATGCCAAATCATGGGGTCAAAAAAAAAAAAGGAACTCTTGCCTTTTGCAACAGCATGGATGGAACTGGAGAGCATTATGCTAAGTGAAATAAGCCAGTCAGAGAAAGATAAATACCACATGATCTCACTCATTTGTGGATTATAGAGAACAACATAGACTGATGAAAAGGGACAGACTCAAAGACTGAGAAACAGCAATCAGGCTATCAATCCCCAGAAGGAAAGTAGGGGAGGGCGGGGGTAAGGGGAAGAGATCAACCGAAGGACTTGTATACATGTATATAAGCCATACGAATGGACATGGACAACAGGGGGATGGGAGCATGAGTGTGTGTGGGGGGGAGGTTGGGGGTTAATGGGGGGGATGAGGACACATTTGTAATACCTTAACTAATAATAAAAAAAAAAAAATAGTGACTTTAAGAAATGGGAACTATGGCCCTAGCCGGTTTGGCTCAGTGGATAGAGCATCAGCCTGAGGACTGAGGTTTGATTCTGGCCAGGGCATGTGCCTGGGTTGAGGGCTCGATCCCCAGTAGGGGGCGCACAGGAGGCAGCTGATCAATGATTCTCTCTCATCATTGATGTTTCTATATCTCTATCCCTCTCCCTTCCTCTCTAAAATCAATTTAAAAAATATTTAAAAAAATGGTAAATATGACAAGAAGTAGAGGTTCTTCAAATGAATAAATACTGATAGTCACTTTTATGGGTCCTGTCTCTGTCATACCTTTTAAACAAATGCCTAAGCCCTATGTTAGTTATGATGCAGTGGTGGGTTTCTAATAATTGACACTCAGGGGAACAGGATTTCTACTGATGTGAGAGAGAGAGAGAGAGAGAGAGAGAGAGAGAGAGAGAGAGAGAGAAAGGGAGAGGGAGAGAGAGATAGAAACATCGATGAGAGAGAAACATTAATGGGCTGCTTCCTACATGGCCCTACTGGGGATCGAGCCCACAACCCACGCATGTGCTCTGACCAGGAATCAAACCAGCAACCTCTTGTTGCATTAGATGACACTCAATCCACTGAGCTACACCGGCGAGGCCATACCCCTATATTCTACCTTGTCTTTTCTAGTTTTCCTGAACTCTTTCCTAGATATCAGAGATTGAAACCTCTAGCCTGCAGGATCCCCTAATTCTAAGCTGAATTTTATCAGCACTACCATTAAAACCAAACCCCATTTCTGGGAGCCAAAAGTGCAGCTTGGAGAGGGAGGAGAAATGGGCTGTAGTCTCAGCTGTGACCCAGCTAACTAGAGTTTCAAAACAGACTTTCTCTTCTAAGTTTTCAGAGTCAAAACTCTAAGAAACCACAACACTATTGACACTCAGGGAAACAGGATTTCACACCCCCCCAAATATGTCTTTTTGGTATGAGGATTATTTGATGCTGACTATTTCTTCTTTATGTAATTAAACCTTTTGCAACAAAAGATATAGCATTTCCCAATTTTACAGAAGATAAGGTTAGAGCTTCCACATCAAAATGAGAAAAAGGAAGAATTTCACCAGTGCTTGGGCAGAATTTAGTGAACTATAAAAATACTTTAAAATTTACTTGGGATTAGAACAACCCAAATATTTAAAATACTTTAAAATTTACCAGGATTAGAAATTCCATAATTTAAAATTTATTAACCCATAGTCTACTGTTTTCCTCTTAAAAATGTTTGATTTTTTTTAAATCTAAAAGGCTCTAAGATAATTATCATACAAGCAAGCAGTATTAATAGAAGCATAAGATGTTTTTCCTTTTGGAGTTTTAGCAAAACCACATTGGCTTCCCTGTTATTTTCTTCCTCGTTCTTCTTTATGTCTCCCTTAACTAGAGAGAGAATATAAAGTGGCACTTTTTAAAATCATACTGGTTAACATTTAATTGAGTTTAATTGTTCCATTCTAATTTGCAATGCTAATGAGTAGACTATGACATGTAGCAGTGTTATGTCTCTAAAACTAATCTCTGTATTTGATTTGCTTCCCTTTAGTTAAATGGCTCCCTTTGGAGTTTTCCCTGCAGTAACAGCACTCCATGGAAATGTGACTCCAGGGAATCTAATTGTTCTCTGCAACGATGCTGGGCCATCTACCAGTTTCAACAACAACAGCAAAATCCCATTTCCTTTTTCTTCTTCCCAACTCTTGCTTTTATTGTCAAATGTTTACCCAGAAACTAGGGGGGAAAAACATAAAAATGTAAAAATTGACTATGATTGGTGCTGCTGTTTGAAATTTCAACGTCGTATTTGGATCTTTCTCCCTGGCAGCTCTAATAAACTCCCTGCCTCATGCTTCTTGTAGTTATTCGTGGCAGCACCTGAATGGAAATGAAGTACCTGTTTCTAGAGCCAGGAGGGGGTTTGAGTCCTTACCATCAAAATGCAGTAAGCAATCATGCTTGCTAAATGTTTTCTCTCACTGTGATTCATCCTGCTGCTCCAGAGAAAAAGCGTTCATCTATGAAACATACTTACAACTCTATTCGGTAGTGGAATCTCTACTTATTCATGATTAATACACTAAAAGCAAAAGAAACTTAAGAGTCCTTCTTAGTCATAAGGTCATAGATAGTATTGTACTTTCTTCCAATTCTGTCACTGTGAGCCAATGTACAATTACTTCCAAAATGAATTTTTAAAGATAATTTGAAATTACATCATGCATAATAATTGTGCTTGTAATTAAAATATTCTCTGACTTATTTGCTTTGATAAATAGTGGTTAAGGCTTTATTTTATTGTAGCAATTCCATTTTTTATACTAGTTTTAAAATCTTCTGATGTCCTACTAGGTGCAGGCACTGAGCAAGGTGCCCAAGTTGATACAAATACAAATAATATATAGTCACTAACTTTAAGAAGCTTATAGTTTAGCAAGGGGATAAGACAACGTGACCTCAAATAAAGTTTAATAAGAAGAGTTCCATGAAAAGAGTCATGTGAAGAGTAATGGGGGATCAAAAGTGAGAGTGTCAGGGCTGAAGAATGAAGTGCAATGATTAAAGTGCAATGATTTCGGGAGGAGGATGGTCACTTTATGTGAAAGTTAGTGCCCACAATAGCTCTGGATACATGCATCCCAATGAAGAAAGGTTTATATTGTTATTAGAGGCCCGGTGCACAAAATTTGTATACGGATAGGGTCCCTAGGCCTGGCAGGTAATCAGGGCCGATCAGGTTCCCCGCTTCCCAGCCTTCCTGCCTCCTCCTTCCCTCACTGCCTCAGCACCCCTCCACTGCCACTGGTCGCCCACCATGTTCCTCACCACCCCCTGGTGGTCAGCACACATCATAGCAAGCGATCGAACTCCTGGTCTCCGGGTCGAACTCCCGAGGGGACAATTTGCATATTAGCCTTTTATTATATAAGATATAGGTTGGGCCCTCTCCTATCTCTTTCATCTTTGTGTTGTTTAGAATTGTGTTAAAATTAATAGTATTGATTAGTTACCACAGATGGTAACTAGACTTATTGTGGGGGTCATTTTGTAAGGTATGTTGTATGTTAATTAAAAAAATTTGTGATAACTTGTATAAGGTTAGCCTTATCAAATATGTTTGTTGGTCAAACACTTTTGCCAAGGTTATTGCAATTTAAGAAAGAGACTTAAAATTTTGGAAGGAAAAAGTTTTCAGATATTCTTTAAAAGTTTAAAAGGATGCCTACATAATCAAGTAACCTGCTAAGTACATGTAATTTGCCTGTGTTTACTAGAATGGTACATTTAAGAACTATTAACCATTAATAGTCCAGTTTTAGTTACCATGCATTCTTAAAAGTAATTAATTAATATATGTTTCTTTAAAAACATTGCGTAAAATTTAGAGTTTCCATCAGGTCTTAATATGTTCTCCCCTTCAGTCCAACAGTGAAATATTACTAGATATAGGCCTTGAAAGCTCATATTCTAGGCCTGCATACAATAGTCCCCAGGAGAGGCTTCTTCTATTCCCCCATGAGTGATTGGTGCCTGACCTTTCTGCCTTCTTCATAAGTAGATTTATGATCAACACCAGTTAATGAAGGTTCCTGTACCAGGTAAGAAAGCTGAGTCTTGGAGCGTTGCCGGATGGAAGCTCTGTAAATAAAAAGATGAAACCATTTGTAGATTGTGGGCAGGTTGGAACAGAAGTCAACTGGTATTCAAGTTTACAAGACATGTGTCAAATAAACAGAAATGTTTTCCGGGTCACCTGGTAACCAGATAAGGGATCTTTCTGATTAAACTAGACAGAGTTATTCTTAGGGCAGAATTAATCAGTGGGGTTGCTCTGGGCCCTAAGCTAGACCTTGACCCAGAAGGGAGAAAAAGAAGGGAGGCAAAGTTGTCCTACTAGTTTACCAGAAAAAGGTGTAAGACTCAAATCCATTCTGAACCCACATGGCTCTGCTAATTGCTATCATAGCAATAGGCCATTGCCTTTACTTCCCTTCTGGCTGTATTTTTATCTACCCATCCCTGCCTCCCCCCCATCACCTTATACTTTGTATACTTCAAAGTTTTGCCACCTCTATACAAATGAGCTAGTCTGAAAGGAAATAGAACCCCTAGTGACATATTCTCCAGGCTATATATCACCCCTAGCGATGCATTTAAATTTTATTGATATATAATTTAACTTGATGTGTTCATTCATTCATTCAACAGAAGTTTATTGGGCACCTACAGCATGCAATATTCCAGGTGCTGTGTGGGATACAAAGACTGGTCAATGACAGACTTGTCCCTCAAGAAACGTAAATTGTATAGAGGAGCAACACATGTACACCCAATCCTAATGTAAGGAAAAATGTACTAAGTGCTATAGGGCAGGTTTGAATAAAGAGTATGAAAATGTAAAGGAAAAAGACATGTATGGTAGATGTTACCATAGAAGGCTTCTTGGAAGAGGTGACTAAGGTAGGATTTGGGTTTTTGTAGACTAGAAGGAACAGCATTTCTAATTGAGAGAACAGTGTAAATGGAAGCATGAAGAGAGGAGAGAACAGGAACACTCATTAGATATACTTAGTACAGGACAGATATAGGAAGTGATTGGTTCAGGTTGTTTTGTTTCATTTTCCTGCGATTTCTGGGAAAGAGATTCTACTCTCCTCTAGATTAAGCTTGAGAAGATGTAGCATTGGGAGCTGATGGCAATTATGTTGAAACTCTTAAGGAAAGAAGTTTCCCCTAAAATAAAGCCAATAGTGAAAACAAAGTAGAGCTGAGGAGAGAGACTTGGGCAAATCATTGACACCCCAGCCTCGCCTGAAGCCAAAGCATCCTCCTGGGACTATTCCTTATGTCAACTGCTTCTCTCCCTTTAAAGGTTAAACCAGGTCGAGTTAGGTTTTCATTCATTTGCAAACAGTGTCTTCAGTGACAAAGGCAATGCTGAAGACTTGGGAGGAGGGCAGTTTCCTGATGGAAGCATTAATTGGAAGTCATATGGTGTAAGAGAGCAACGTGAGAGATGAGACCTATATCAACTGCTTAGTGCAATCCAGATGGAACCATTCACAAGCCTCTATCCTTTGTATCCAGGTGCAATTGGACTAAAACTCATATCAGGGTGGTGTCTGCCTATTACACAGGCTCCTTTAGCCTTCTTGAGAAGGCAGTAACACATCAACTTAATTAATCTAATTTGTTACCACGTTCTGTTAATGGTACTGCCACCCTCTTAGTCACCCAGTTTCAACAAGGTGCATGTATCACAATTCCTCCCTGTTCCTTGCTCTTACATATTCAAACTCTTGCCAAACCTCATTATGAACAGGCATGAAGCCACTCCTTATCTCCTACTGCCTGCTACCACACTGGCTTCTTCTGGGGCACCCCCCTTTTCCCTCCCAATCTGACCTGAAGCTACAGCAACAGAGTCATTTGAGTTTGGTAACTAAGGTCGAACTGTCTTGTCCAGATGGTGTAAGGAATAGACATGTGTCACCTGGAGAGAGCAGAGTGCATGACAGAGCTGAGACTTAAGTTCATGGGGCTGAAATAAAACTCATAGCATTAGAAGCCATAGCAGGAGTATATAAAGAGAAGAAGGTGTCAAAATATACTTGACTACCTTCCAGTCTGAGCATGGGAAGACCTATATCCTTGTCCCCTCGGACTTCTACTACTTTAATATTACATTTCATAGGTCTCTCTCTCTCTCTCTCTCTCTCTCTCTCTCTCTCTCTCTCCCTCCCTCTCTCTCTCTCTCTCTCCCTCCCTCTCTCTCTCTCTCTCTCCCTCTCTCCCTTCCTATCCCTCACACCATTCCACCTGTCTAGGACAGGCTGTCCCCATGAGACAGCTAGGCAGGCACCCTATCTGCCAGGCAGTTCCCCTCTCATCTACCATAAACACCAGAGTTATAATTCTACCTAAGCCCTTCCAGAAACCTACAACATCCGCCACTCCCTTTCTCAGAAGCTGCTTTACTACTTCTCAACGCAAACAAAAGCAGCTAGATTGGGAAATAAGTTAGCTGAATAAATAATACTTGCTCTCAACATTGTTATTTAGAAAATTAATTTCTTCATCCATTAAATTGTTCTTGAACCTAAAATCTATGACTAAAGAGAGACTTAGCCTTCAGAAAGACCTTAGACAAGGAAATAAGATACAAATTAACATTCCACTTAGTCATCTTTTAGCAAAAAAAAATTAAAAATCTGTCAGCCTACACAATGAGATATTTTTAACCATCTTCTCATTTAAAGTTGTAAATCTTTCTCTGCAGGAAGTTAACAGCTTCTTTCTGTGTATAGATTGTATTTCTGGATTTCTCATCCTAGCCACCAAAATCTAGACTTTGTGAGAACAAATGGTCAAATAGGAAATGTTTGTATTAAAATGGTTATCTGGTCCTGATAACAGATTGTAAGTAAACTACTTAGAACAGATGGAATTTGGTTCAGCACGCTATCAACTTATTCTTTTCTAAATTCAATAAAACTAGCATTTCATGAAATTTTTCTGAATGATCTGTTCTCCAAAGGAAAAATAAAAAACTCTAAGCATAAACTTAGTGAACTACCCTTTGAATATTAAAAATAAATAAATGTATGTTTGTACTACTTGAAGTTGTTACCTGAATGTTTTGTTTTAAGCTCTTTAGCCATTTTTCAATAAATGATTAGCTAGTTATCTTGAATGAACTAGTCCTGAATTAAATGATCTAGAAATGTAAAAAAATGTTAGAGAAATATGCTGTCAGTTCATTGCCTACTGTAGTATCCTAACTTGAGAAAAAGAATCTTTTTAATATTAAAGGAATTATTTTATTAAAACACTTAAACCAGGATGAAAGCCTAAATTTACAGTCTTACTAACAGTGTACAACAACAAAAATATGTTTTGAGAGTGAATACTGATATATTTATCCATAGAAAAATAAAAACCTAAAATATAAACTAATTAAATACATAGCCAATGTTTGGGGAAATTATATTTAAACATTAGAAAATGCACTTCTTATTTCATCTAACTAAAACATGATTTGTCTTCAGAAGGTTACTCTGGAAGAAATATTTGAATTCAATTGCGACTCAGAAGGTTAAAGAGTAGAGCTAAAGAAATGAATCTGACCTCCACGTAAAGTGGTAATTCATACCAGAGTTAGCTTTGGTGGGAAAGACTCAATACAGATATTTTCTAAAACAACCATGTTTCTAAGTTCAATAAACAACATTTTAACTATAGAGCATCTCTATCATGACCCTAACCCTAATAAAATGAGAAGCTAAAGTTAAACAAAAACTCCTCATTAATTAGAAACAGGACTGTCAATATAGCAACCAAGAATTCATTTGCATGTTCCTATTACACAAGACTTGGGCCTGTGCTTAGGGCTTTCCTGGTAGTACCCAAAATATTACCTAAGAGTCCTAAGAATATTTGAAAACCTTAAAATCTGCCCCAGGGCTCAAACTTACCTTAAACTAGCCCGGTAGCTCCCTCTGCTAAAGGTCTGTTTGCTCTCAAGTAAAGCACCTTCAGTGTCATCTTTTCCTATTTCAACACAGCATGAGGGATTCCTTAGTGTATGCAATAAACAGAACCATATCAAAATAAAATTACTTACTATGCTTGCCTCGCACATAATTACCATGCCTGATGCTAAAACAGACATTAACTATTAACTTTATTGCAATAAGTAAAATAACCCTTGTCCAGCACATTCTAACAAAAGATTTCAAAATAATAGGCAAGATTGAATCTTTCAAACTACATATGTATAATAACCTATGTGTTATAACCACAGAAACAGATATCTTATAGCATGAATCATAAAAAACCTTAAGGGAAGCCCACTAGAAGTAGGAAAAAAATTATAGACTCACCAAATTTAAAAAAAAAAATCATTTCAGAATAAATCACAAGTTATATGTATAAAGTTACATAATTATATAATTGTATAGTCTGTAACTATACAATTATACCCAGTGGAGTTCAAAATTGATATGTGACATGGTAGAGAAAGTGTGGAGTGGTTGATTAATGTAGGTTGAGATAAACCACCAAAACTGAAAATTCAGATTGAAAAAGAGAAGGTGTGCTAGGGCCTGAAGTATCTATTTACATTAGTGAAAATAAGCACAATACATTTTAGTCATTGATTCATTCACTCAACCAACAAGAATAGAGCTCCTACTGTGTGCAAGACACTATAGAGAGTCTCTCTTACTTGCAAAGTGTGTGTGTGTGGGGGGGGGGGGTAGGGGGTGAGTGGGGTAAGAGGGAGGGATGAAGTTGAATGTTCTTCAACAGAACACCAGGGCTCTATGACTTGATAAGATAACTGAACCTCCTGAGTGCCTGTCCTTTCCTGTATCATTTACATAATGCCTCCAAGGGCTTTTGGGAGAACAAATAGGACAGTGTATATTAAAGTGCATAGAAAAACATAAAGCATTAATACATTAACTATTTAATACAATATATAAGCATAATGAACAAGGCACTTACCCTTTATGCCCTCCTCATTAAGGGCTTGATCTCCTTGACTTTGCAAAGTCACTAGAGTGAAGTAAACTCCTTTTCTTTCCAACAGTTCTTCATGTGTACCTCTTTCCACTGCTGCACCATGTTCAAAACCAATAATGACATCTGCAGCTCTAACCGTGGATAGGCGATGAGCGACTGAAATGATGGTATGCCCATGCTGAATCTGTAACGATGCATAGTGCACCATTAACTGAGACCGTAAGACAGAGCTGGCATCGACCTTTGGTTCATCTCGGAATTCACAAGTGAGTCAGAGCCTCAGTCCCTGGGAGAATCCTTAAATAGGCTGTGCAGACATTAAAAATAGCCAGCACACTTTCTCACATTGTTGGTCCAGTTGTTGCTATTAAAAAACAGCTAAAACAAAAAAGGAAAATTTAAAACTCACAGATTTTGCCCTAGTCGGTTTGGCTCAGTGGATAGAGTGCTGGCCTGCAGACCAAAGGTTCCTGGGTTTGATTCTGGTCAAGGGCACATACCTTGGTTGCAGGATCCTCCCTGCCCGGACCCTGGTCAGGACAAGTGCAGGAGGCAACCAATTGATGTGTTTCTCTCAAATCGATATTTCTCTCTGTCTTTCCTTCTCTCTTCCACTATCTCTAAGAAATCAATGGCGGAATATCCTCGGGTGAGGTTTAAAAAAGAAATAAAATAAAACTCACAGATTTTAAGTTAGACCTAACAAGATTTTAACTTTTACATGTGCAACTTCTGGAAGCAAATCATAACTGTCTTTTGTTCAATTGTGAGGAACATTGCAGTCAGCCAATATTTTCTAAACAGTCAGACTGGATACACCGCGACCCATGTAGCATATCTCTCTTTCCCCCACCCACTCAATAAGCAGCCTTTCCTACAACAGCACAAACATTTCCACGTGTAAAATGAACTCAGACTTTCCACAAACCTTACTCAGTGCCTCTTGCACCATGGCTTCGCTCTCATTGTCCAGTGCCGAGGTGGCCATGTCCAAAAGCAGGATCTTGGGATTTCGAACCAGGGCTCTAGCAATGGCTACTCTTTGTTTCTGGCCGCCACTCATCTGGCCTCCTCCTTCTCCAACAAGAGTGTCAAATTGCTAGAAAGAAAGTGAGCCCAGCAATGAATAGGAAGAATTTGAAGACTCCTGACTAATCCTTCATGAGGTCCTTTCTAGCTTCCTCCTCAAACATGAATTTTCAGAGGTCTAACTTTTACTGAAATACCCTTTCCTGAAACAGGTCTCATCAATATTTGTGTTTAAGATTTTAAAAAATTGATTTAATCTCTTAGTCCCAGGTTCACTGGCTGTGTAAATGTTTCTGCTTAGCTCAACTTCAAATAAAATGTTTCCACCAAACTAAAAGTTGATTGAGATCCTGAAAATCCATTTTAGAGGATTAGAGCACTTATCAGATCTCATTTCTTTTCTCTAGCTAAACAACACAGAAAAACACAATGCTAAAGCTGTCTTTATATTGTGAAATACCAAGCCACCTTTATAACCGTCACCATCGAGAGCAGACAGTTGGCAAGTATCTTGCATGTCTAGCATTATATTGGAACCTCACAGCAGGTCAGACTCTCGTCTTGCATATCATCAGCCAATGTGAGTTGAGCACCTACCATGTATAAAGAAAGCACAGAGCTTCACTTCACACATATCATCTCATTTAGTCCTCACAGATGTCCCATGAGGTAGGTGCTACTATTCCCCTCAATTGATAGATAAGGAAATGCTGGGGTGCAAGGGGGTAAGGTAACTTCTCCAAGTTTATAAAGCTTGCAAGTGGAGAAGCTGGGGCCTGTATGGAGGAAGTGTGATGCCAGAGTTTTATGCTCTTTAATCACTAGGCTATATTACTAGTATACTCATGGCTGTAATCCTATTTATACAGGAAATTTAGAAGGTGGACTAGAAATTGTTCTAGAGTACTGACTCTGGAGCCAGACCACTTGAGTGTGAACCTTGTCTCTCCTGCCTTGAGCAAGTTATTTGACCTCTCAGAGGGCTAAATGAATTAATAAATTAAAATGCTTAGAACAATGCCTGGTTTGTAGGAAGCACTATATATGTTTTAACGAATAACAATGCTTCTTTGACTTAGCTAACCATTAGCCTCAAGCAAAATTCATATAATAATATGGAATTGGTTTTGTTGTCATTGTTGCTGAAAATGAAGATAAAGGAGGAATTTTGGAATGTGTTAGATACAGTGCTGAGGACACATATTAGCCACCTAAGTATAAGAAAATTAAACGACAATGGGAGACATCAAAAGAGCATCGTGCAAGTTATTGCCACATAACAAATTTATCATCTGCTTTGACAAATGCTTAATAGATAGAATAAGGAAATTGTATCAATGTCAAAAGAGCATTTAAAAGAACATTCCCCAGCTTGGTAGACTTTCAGTAGATTAACAACATGGTTTCAAACAAAGGGGAAAACTCATGGTACTTTTCCAGCATGACACAAAAACATGACATTAAGAATTTAATGATTTAGGATTCAAATGCAAAGAAATACACCTCATAGAACTTTTTTCCTTTTACAATTCATGAGTTTCCCTCTGAATGAGAGGCTCGGGGTACCTGTGGCAGCTCCATGATGAAGTTATAGGCATTGGCTTCCTTGGCAGCTCGGACTATATCTTCCATCGTGGCCCCCTCTCTGCCATAGCGAATATTCTCTGCAATGGTGGTGGAGAACAGAACAGGCTCTTGCTCCACAATTCCAATCTGAGCTCTAAGCCACTGAATGTTAAGAGAGCGAATGTCATGGCCATCCAAAGTCACCTAGAGAACATGAGCACAACATCACATCTCTCAGAACCCTTCAGGGTCTGAATCATAATACTATGTTGTACTTAACCCATGGGGAGAAAAAATAGAGACCAACAAGATGGTAATAGAAACAATTCCTCTTATAATATGGTTGTTTATATAAGAATGACAATATATTAGTATAATTGAAATCAAATATAGCTATAGGACAATTTATTGTAGAAACATAAATGTTGTAAAAGTCTCTTTATTTAATGTAATTGGGAAAGGATTTTACTTCCTCGATAAGTAGTACAGTCACATGTGTCTCTCTCCCTTCCACTATCTCAAAAAAAAAAAAAAAAAAATCAATGGAAAATATCCTCAGGTGAAGATTAACAACAACAAAAAGAATACAGTCAGTTATTCACCATACTTTGACTATTTTTACTATGCTTTTTTAAAATATATTTTTATTGTTTTCTGAGAGGAAGGGAGAGGGAGAGAGAGATAGAAACATCAATGGTGAGAGAATCATTGGTTAGCTAACTCCTGCACGCCCCACTCTGGGGACCAAGCCCCCAACTTCAGCATGTGCCCTGACTGGGACTTGAACTGTGACCTCCTGGTTCATAGGTCAATGCTCAACCACTGAGCCACTGTGGCCAGGCACTATGTTTTGACTTGTGACCTAAAATGGACTTCATTAGATGCATTAAAAATAAGCAATGATTCTTATCTTGTATATATTCTTTATAGTAAAGTTTTCTTTCTGGCCAGATTCACCAAAATAGTACTTTGCTATTCAACAGCAATTGAAACTGCGAGTGGAATGAGAAAATTAAAATTACTATTAGCAAAATATAAAAATGTTACATAAAGAAACCATGATTTTAATATATTTAGAGTATAGTTATGCTGGTATGAGGCCAAGAATATCCAATCAGAGAATGATGTCTTATGACATAGGAAAATTCTGGTTTGTTTGCCATGTTAGTGTAACAGTACATGCACTATAGAGAATTCATTGCATTCAAGTATTTAATATGTACTCAAACAATTCTATCTTGGTAAGAATGATTTAGAGAGTGAAAAGCCTTTGGCACTTAACAGACCTGTGTTCAAAACGGGGGCAACTCTCAATCTCTCTGACTCTTCTTCCTCATCTGTAAAATGATATTTACCTTTGATGATCATTGTGAAAATAAGTAAGCATTTTTATAAAGTATTTTAATTATAATATGTGATAAATGGAAATTATTAATATTTATTTTCTTACTTTCAGTTTATGTTTATATTCAAATAAACACAAGAAAAAAATTAAGTAGTTTGTGAAATTATATATATATTTTTAAAACCTAACTTCTCAAAGCTGTAATAAATAATTGTTCTCTGTTAATTCTGGCCATGGAAGCTTTCCTATACTTAGCATTTGAAGAGCTTCAGGAGAACAATAATAATTTTGCTATTATACAAAGAAATAAATGAAAACTTTAGTTCACTGAGGAGGCAGCCACTTGGAATGTATCTGCACAGCCAGTTCCATCACTCAGAGAATGGACTGGTTGTTCAGTGAACGTGGTCATGCAAGGAATTAGTGCAGCCACAGCAGTCAAAATCATTAAGTCAACCCCACATGTGTCAGGATGGTCTCAGTGTATGCTAAGCCTTTGGGGTTGATTAAGTTATCACCATTTGCACTTGCCCATCCCCTGGAGTGAGAAGTTTCTGGAAGACACACACCATGCCTGCACTGGGGTCGTAGAATCGCTGGATGAGTTGCAGGGCTGTGCTCTTCCCAGCTCCGCTGGATCCTACCACAGCCGTCATTTCCCCTGGTTTGATGACCATGCTGAGGTTATTTAAAATCTGCAGAGGAGAGAAAAGAACAATGTCAGCAGCTAGGCTGCAAGTTAGGATGCTTTGTGAGGATATTGTGTTTGTTGAACTGTACCCTGCATCCATGAATAAGCAGCACATTAGTAAGCAGTGCCTAGGATGAAGCTTTAGCATTCAGCACATTACTTACTATTTAGCTGAAAGCCAGGCCAACAAATAAAATGATGTGTGGTAACACTTGAGGTTAAAGTAAATCAACCACATCCGCTTTTAGATGTTCTGGAATCTCATTTAAAACATCCTGACATACTAGGATACCTCAAGAAGACGGTCCCAATTAGTTAAGGGAAGAAAGCCATTAAGTTAGAAAAATAATACAAATTTATTAACCACATGTTAATAAGCCAGTTTTCAAAGTTTAAGCTGTCACACACTTGTATTGTGTGTGAACATGTTATTTGAATGAATAACTGTATCTAACAGATGTTTGTGGTTTATTTGCTAGATACAAAACTCTGTTCAAAGTAGAGATTGAATGCTGGTAAGCCTAGAAAGGGAAGAAAAAAAAGCTACCTTATAACCATGTGTTGGATATTTTCACCAATTCAGTGGTGATTTTTGTACTTATTATGTGAGGTGGTTTGGGGTGCTCTATGTGTCAAAATCTCACAAGTCTTTCATTCCACACTATAGGGTCAGGCTTACAAACTTTTACTTACTGGACTGTAATCTTCCCCTAGGGCAGGCAGGCATTGAGTATGCTCTTCTTTTTTTTTTTTTTTAATATCACTATAGTCTCAGTACATCATGGCACCCAGCAAGGCTAAATACACCCTTGTGATATGAATGAAGAATATTTACAGGTCTAAGTAAGAAGATTTTATTAAAACAAACTCTTGGTATTGGAAATAGCAGATAAAACAAATGAAATAACTGTGTTTCAATTCAACTGGTATTTGTTGAACAGCTATTATGAGCTGGTTCTGAACAAATATTATAAAGGAAGTATTGAGCCATCCCTTCAAAGATCATTATTGAATGAACACCACCTTGAGGTTTATATTTCACAAGTACTTTTATATTTTTTATGACAGTTAATGTTTACATATATATGTAATATATAACATTAATAAAAAATTTACTTCATAAACATAACCTTAATATATGTACTTATACTTTATATGTACATATAATGAAAGTGTATATGCGTGTGTGTGTGTTTATCTGCATTATAGGTATGCATTATCAAATTAAGTTTCATGGAATTTAGTTCTGTGGGGATAACAGAAATATTATTAAGAAAGGGTAGCTAGAGGTACTCTGTTAAAAATGAGGAACAAGTCTCATTTCAAAGCCAATTCATTCAGCAGGAGTAGATCCTAATTTTCCTGTAGAGTAAATTGCCTTTAAATATACTTGTTCAGTAGATACAGGAAAACTAAATTTTCTTCACCATGGGTGACTTATGAGCATATCACAAGATTACCTTTGCACCAAGGACTGATATATTGGCCCTGGTGAAATTATAGCAAGTAAAAAACTGCAAAGAGAGCTGCTTTCCTTTGTTACTTCATATCCTTCCTACTCTGAGTGTTCTACCTTCTGTACTCTCTAAGGAGGTGGTTTGACATAGTTGTACTTCTTAATTGGTCTGATTGCCTTGCATTTTATTGAACTCATGGTTACAATGACAGGGCCTGGCACACTCATTTCAACAGACTCATAAAGGTGACTTAACCGGAAAGTGCTGCCAGACTGTGTTCCTACCAAAGGGATTTGCACAGTACTGTCATTATGAAGGAATGTGGTTTGGTGCCTGAGAAATCACACAACACCCAAGGACACTTCTAGAGAAACATGCTTCTGTTCCATGTCTCTGGAAACTGAATCATGCCTCAGGAAAACAAGCAATTCATGGCTCTGGAAATGAATCATCAAGAATAAAATGCTGGCCCTAACCAGTTTGGCTCAGTGGATAGAGCGTCGGCCTGTGGACTCAGGGTCCCAGGTTCAATTCTGGTCAAGGGCATGTACCTTGGCTGCGGGCACATCCCCAGTAGGGGGCGTGCAGGAGGCAGCTGATCGATGTTTCTCGCTCATCAATGTTTCTAACTCTCTATCCCTCTCCCTTCCGCTCTGTAAAAAATCAATAAAATATATTTTTTTTTAAAAAAGAATAAAATGCTGTTGTTCCTGAAGGAAAGATTAGTACTTACCTTCACTTCTGGTCTGGAAGGATAGTGGAAGGTCACATTGTGGAATTGAATTTCACCGTTAATTCGATCCAACTTGTAACCATCTTCTGACATGCAGTCAATAACAGGTTTCTGGAAGAGAATGTAAAGGGATATAGCAACATGTATTAGATGCATTTACTGTCCATCTCGGTTTGAATTTACTCATAAAAGAAAATAACAACCAGGTAAAACATTGCAGCGATTTGTTAAAGATAGGTTTCTTCCACATTAAATAATTATTTTTAAGAATAATTAGCATTTATAGAGATATTATATTATGATATATTAATGGTATTATGCTATGTTACTATATAATATATTAGCATATAATATGTTATATGTATTATGTTACATATTAATATACATATACATTTTATCTGATATTATATTTGTTAACATCCTATCTAATAAAAGAGAAACATGGTAATTGGCGTACGACCGCTACCCTTCCCATTGGCTAATCAGCGAGATATGCAAATTAACTGCCAGCTAAGATGGCGGCCAGCAGCCAGGCAGCTTGAAACTAACATGAGGCTTGCTTGCTTCAGTGACGGAGGAAACCAACGTTACCCCACCTGCTTTGCTGGCCTCTGAGCCTGCAGTTTAAGAAACATTGTAACAATTATAGAAGCTAAAAAAAACCCCAGAAACCTGCTTTCAGCGAGGCTGGGATCTTAGAGCTGGAGTTATACAGTATTTCAATTATAGGATGGAAACAAACCAGATACCTTCTTTCAGCAGCAGAAGCCTCAGAGCTGGAGCCAGAGCTAAAGCTGGCCCAGAATAAAAAAAGAAAAAGAAAAAAAGGAGTGGTTGGGAGCTTCCGTCACCCACCAGCCTGAAAACAGCCCTCAGCCCCTCACCCAGACTGGCCAGGCACCCCAGTGGAGACCCCCACCCTGAAGGGTGTGTGACCAGCTGCAAACAGCCATCATCCCCTCACCCAGGCTGGCCAGGCACCCCAGTGGGGACCCCCACCCTGAAGGTTGGGTGACCAGCTGCAAACAGCCATCATCCCCTCACCCAGGCTGGCCAGGCACCCCAGTGGGGACCACCACCCTGAAGGGTGTGTGACCAGCTGCAAACAGCCATCATCCCCTCACCCAGGCTGGCCAGGCACCCCAGTGGGGACCCCCACCCTGAAGGGTGTGTGACCAGCTGCAATCAGTCATCATCCCCTCACCCAGGCTGGCCAGGCACCCCAGTGGGGACCCCCACCCTGAAGGGTGTGTGACCAGCTGCAATCAGCCCTCAGCCCCTCATCCAGGCTGGCCAGGCATCCCAGTGGGGACCCCCCCCCCCCTGATCCAGGACACCCTTCAGGGCAAACCAGCCGGCCCCCACAGGTGCACCAGTCCTCTATCCTATATAGTAAAAGGGTAATATGCCTCCCAGCACCGGGATCAGCGGAGCCACGAGGCCTCCCGGCACCGGGATCAGCGTGACAGGGGGCAGCGCCCAAACCCCCTGATCACCCTGCGGCTCTGTGTGTGACAGGGGGTGGGGCCACAACCTCCCTATCGGCCCTGCTCTGTTCGTGACAGGGGAAGGCGCCCCAACCTCCTGATCAGCCTTGCTCTGTGTCTGATACAGGGGAGCTCCCCAATCCCCTGATCGCCCTGTGGCTCTGTGTGTGACAGGGGGTGGGGCCCCAACCCCCTGAGCAGCCCTGCTCTGTGCCTGATAGGGGGGAGCTCCCCAACCCCCCCCCCCACGGGCCCTGCTCTGTGTGTGATGGGGTAGAGCCATAACCTCCCCATGGGCCCTGCCCTGAGTGTGAGAGTGGCGGCGCCCCAACCCCCTGATGGGCCCTGCTCTGTGTGTGACGGGGGCAGCGCCCCAACCCCCTGATTGGCCCTGATCTGTGTGTGACAGGGTGTGGCACCGCAACCTCCCCATCGACCCTGCCTTGAGTGTGACAGGGGACGGTGCCCCAACCCCCCAATTGGCCCTACCCTGAGCGTGACTGAGGGTGGCATCACAACCTCCCAATCTGCCCTGCTCTGTGCATGACAGGGTGGCGCCCCAACTCCCCAATCGGCCCTGCTCTGAGCCCGACCAGGGGCTGCACCTAGGGATTGGGCCTGCCCTCTGCCACCTGGGAGCAGGCCTAAGCCAGCAGGTCTTTATCTCCCGAGGGGTCCCAGACTGCGAGAGGGTACAGGCCAGGCTGAGGGACCCCCTCTCCCCCCCCGAGTGCACAAATTTTTGTGCACTGGGCCTCTAGTATAATATAAATAACTAATATATAATTAATTTTAATTTATATAACATATTATGCCAATTAATAAAAATTATATATATCACATTAGTTTATTTAATTATTATTTATTGGCACTATGACATTATTATTTAACAACATACTAATATAATATATAGTACTGATCTACATATTAAGATTACTATGTATAATTATATTATTAAGATACCATGGAAGACAATGTACTAGGTGTTTTAGTGTGCTTTTTTTAATTTAAGTAAATGTCGTTATAACCTAACAAGACATTTTTTTCACTTGAGGAAATTGAGACATCTCAGAGGTTAAGTATCTTGCCTAAGGCCACACAACTAGTCAACCACTCTGGGGTCTAAGATTTGAGTAACTGAATGTCCTCAGAGGGTGTCTTCAAACACTACCAACTTTCAGTTGATTTGCTGAATTTCACCTCTGCTGTTGTTAGTAGTGAGCCTAATCTAGAACTTAACCATTCCAGTTCATCAGACAAGGGTCATCTCCTGCTACCAGGACATCCCCAGGTCAGCTTCTTACTCTTCCACACTAGTGAGAGAAATTCATTACCATATCTCTATTTGGGGCTATAGTGTAACCTACTTTCTTCTCAGATCTCCAATAAAGATTATAAAATAATTTTTAAATGCTTTAATTTTTTGACACAGTTTAAGGGGCTTTTTAGACTCATCATCTTACTTGAGCAAATAACAACCCAGGAATGAGAATTTGGATCATTCAACGGGCCTATGTGGTTTTCAATAATCTCTTTATATCCCAATACACAAAGCCCCAAAGTACAAAACAGATACAGTGATGAGAAATTTTCTCGGGAAGGTGAGATGCCTCCTAAGTAGCCATGGTTTAGGGAACCCACAAAGCACTTTGGATTTACGGGGCTTCTGACTCTTAGCCCAGGGCATTGTTTTCAGAGGGAAAGAATATGTTGCCATTTTTCCCTTCTGTTCTTGGATTTTGACTTTCTACCTTGACCTCCAATGATTTAATAGATTAACCAGAAAAATTCTAGCCACACTATCAGGGTCCTTTTCTAGCTGGTACAGACTTTCTGTCACATTTACAAGGTAATCCAATCATATGAACTGGGCTTTAAAGTCTTACATGATCTGGCCCCTTCCCATCCCTAGCCTCTGTCGCTTGTTCACTCAGTTTCATCACACTGGCCTTGTTTTAGCTTCTTGCATTCACCAAGCTATTTTCCAAACTGAAGACCTTTCTTCCATGAATACCCTCCCTGTTCTTACCTCCAATTCACCGCCCCCCAGTCTCCCTTGTAGGGCCAACTCTTTCTTTGATTTTCAGCTCATATACTACCTCCTCAGAGATAATGCCATCATCGTCACTCAATTTAAACACTCCTTCCCACCCCCAATTGCTATCACATTGATCTATTTAAATTCCTTCAGTGTACTATTTAATATTATCTTCTCTTTAAATGTGCTTATTACTTTTGAAAAAATATTTTTTATTGATTTCAGAGAGGAAGAGAGAGGTAGAAAGATAGAAACATCAATTATGAGAGAGAATCATTGATCAGCTGCCTCCTGCACACCCTACACTGGGGATCAAGCCTGCAACCCCGGCATGTGCCCTGACTGGGAATTAAACAGTGTTCTCCTGGTTCATAAGTCGATGCTCAACCACTTGAGCTATGCCAGCCCCATAAATGTGCTTACTTCTTTATTGCCTATTTCCCAGTTTTGATATGAAAGCAGGGGCCTTATTGGTTTTGTTTCACTTGCACTCCCAATTCAGAACAGGGTCAGGCTCAAGACAGCACTTATTGAATATTGCTGAATTAAGGGCATTCTGATAGTTCCGGATAGTTTTTAACACTGAGGGTAAATTTCTTAGGAGTTCATTCCTCTTCCCACCCCCAACCTATGAATAGCCTTTACTTTTGGCCTTTACATACCTGGTCTATTGTTTCAAAAATGCTGGTGGCTGCTGCACGTCCAGTTGCAAAGGCTTCCAAACAAGAAGATGCATTGCCAAGATTTAAAGCTCCCACTATGACACTGAGGAAAATCTGAAGTGAGAAGAGATAAACATGGTGTTCACGTGTTTTGGGGCTATCCATGTGAACGCAGAGATTTCAATCAACACAAAGTAGGTTAGAATAGTGATATGATAATTTGATTCATTATATAAATAGCCTTATAATGGTTTTTCTGGTTAAGGGGTCCCTGAAATAATAAAGACAATATGATTAGCTTGATTGTCCTAGAACTTGGTGCACACAATATAGATCTGCTACTACTACTACTGCTATATTCCTATTACTAGTATACTAGCTATTAGGATAACTACTGCAATAATAATACTACTAGCAATAATAATAATAATAGTAATAATAATAATCTATACTAATAAAAGGGTAATATGCTAATTAGACCAGACATCTTCCAGACATCCATCTGGACATCCTTCTGGACAAAGCCACGGTGGCAGGGGCCAAGACAGAAGCAGTTAGGAGAGACCAGGCTGTCAGGGGAGGGCAGTTAGGGGCAATCAGGCTGGCAGGGGAGAATTGTTAGGGGCAACCAAGCCAGGAGGCAGAGGCGGTTAGGAGTGATCAGGCAGGCAGGCAGAGAGGTTAGGGGTGATCAGGCAGGCAGGGGAGCAGTTAGGGGCATCAGGCAGGCAGGTGAGCGGTTAGGAGCCAGCAGTCCCAGATTGTGAGAGGGATGTCCAACTGCCGGTTTAGGTCCAATCTGCAGGATCGGACCTAAACCGGCAGTCGGACATCACTTGAGGGGTCCTGGATGGGAGACGATGCAGGCAGGGCTGAGAGATCCCCCATGCATGAATTTCTTGCACCAGGCCTCTAGTAATAATAATAATAATGTCATGTTTCTATGTGCTTTATCCTGTATTACTTCATTTAATCCTTAACAGAGGTTATCTAACTTCACATATGTCACAATATATATTAAGTGGTAGAGCAGTATCTAACCCCATTCATGACTGACATTCTGTCTACCTCCCAGGTTCATCTGCAGGAGGTTGCATGCAGGTGGAGTGTCCAGGTTCTTGTGCAAAGCTGGGGAAGCTGTCATTGATTCACCAACTCAACCATCTCACTAGGTTAGGTAAAGGCGACATGATCATGACCCAACAGCACTCTGTTTTTATCAGTTTATAAAGGAAGAGAAAATTCCTCACACTGGCCTCCAGGAGGAGCACAAGACTCCTTCTCTCCACCCTTCCAACCAAAGATTGATTGCCCGTCACAACTCAAATGGAGGATATCTCAGTGGTCACCGTCTATAAGGGACTACAGTTATTTGCTGAGCTAAATATTGACTTTTGCATGAATGTAGTCTTTTTCAGGTAATCATTTTCAGATGATCCTGGTCTGTGGTGATTTCCATGAGCTGGATTCTGACCATGAGGCTTCTCAAAGGCTCCCAGCCACCTCCCTCCCTCTTCAGTCACCTCTCCATTCCACACATCAGGATTATGTGGGCCAGCCCCCTCTTGACGTCTCCCTGAATTCCCCACTCTATGTAGGGGGGTAAACATTATCTCTTCATCTGTTCTTCTTATTCCTTCTCCTTAAATATGGCAGGTAGGTCCTCCCTTAGGCAGATTGCTTAATCTTTCAAGCCCCAATTTCTTTATCTATAGCACAGAAATAATGAGAGTATATCCCTCATGTGATTGTTATGAGCATTAAATGAGATAATGCACGAAAAGTGATTAATCCAGTTCAGCCATATAAATAATAGTACTGATGATGAAGAAAAAAGCATGATTTCCCAGTTAGCAAGTGGAAAGGTGAACAAACAGAACAGTAATTGTGGTGTAGCTTGGGTTAAGATCACTATATTCCAAAGACTTCCTATCTGAGCAAAGGAACCCTTCCATGTGTACTAGCTCAGGGGTCGATAAACATTGTCTCCAAACAGCCAGATGGTACTAGTTTAGGCTTTTCGGGCCACATGCGCTCAGCAATTACTCAGCTCTGCTATCTAATGCAAAAACAGCCATAGACAATAGTAAACAAATGGCTGTGGCTGTGATCCGATAGAATTTCATTTACAAAAACAGGCAGCAGGCTGACGTTAGCTTGCAGGCCATAGTTTGCTAACCCCTGATCTAGATTCTAGACTGACTCACTAGGGTACTAAACTGAGGTTTGGGCTTAAATCCTCACTCAGCTAGGCTTTGCAAACATTACCTCAAATAAAGGTCTCTCTCGGGGTTCTTAGGAGAACAGTGAGTGAGACAGGACAGGGGCATTCAACTAATACCTCGCAATAGCTGGTACACATCCCAATAGGCCCTCATTGCTCATTCCAAATGTCACTCTTTAGTGGCGTTTAGCCCTATGGACTAATGTGGGGAAAGGGAGGGCTGGAAAGACCACTGGGAAACAATCTACCTGTGCGTGTGCTGTGCTGGAGAGAGGGGGATCTGTGACCACTTGGAAGACAGATCCAGAGTCAGCAACACTGTGGTTAACGGGTCAGGCCCCCAAAACCTGAGTTCAAATCCGACTTCATACCACTGGGCACGTATTTCCCAACCTCATGGCTCTATTTCATTTTTAAGTGGTAGTATAATAACATCAATTGCTGAATAAAATTATATTACCTATGATAATTTTATTAAATACCTCACTCAGTGCTTCACACCATGTATATAATTAATAATGTTATTCTCTATGACTGCTATTATTTTTTATTATTGAGTCCTGAAACTTAAGAGGGGAATGAAAGAGCAGTCTTCTTCACCATTCAGTTCCCTTACATTTTTTTTCCCCTAATATATCACAGAGTATGATTTTTGTCTGGGTACAAGTGATACTAATTACAATCATTTATGTGAACTCCTTACTATTTATGCCCAATTACTATGCAGCCAATTATGATTTTGTGCATCACAAAATGCATTAGATTAACCTAATTGTTAATTAGTTTAGTGGATTAAAAAAACTCAACTCATGCATACTCAGTCTTCATAGTTTGCTGCTCAAGCATGAGTAAAAGAGAAGAGAGGACAGAGAGAGAAGGGGTGGAGGGAGGAAAGAGAGAGAGAGAGAGAGAGAGAGAGAGAGAGAGAGAGAGAGAGAGAACAATCAAAGCTTATTCTGTTAAAGGATGTCTCCCACTTTCCCAAAGAAAACTTTCTTAAGGTGTAAGAGGAGGCTTGCAGGAAGAGGTTAGAAGTAAAAGGCAGGTTTATAATGATGACTAATATAGGGAATATAGTCAATAATATTTTCATGACTATATGTGGTACCAGGTGAGCAATGGAAATATCGGGGGAGCACTTTGTAAAGTTTATGACTGTCTGATCATTACGCTTGAAACTAATACAAAATAATAATGAATTTATAATATAATTTAAAAATAAAATTGTTTAAAAACTTTATAAAATAAAAAAGTAATTGATGACTAAAATGTTAGAGAGATGTAGTATGCATGTCTGCATATAGTAGGTACTCAAGAAATATTAATTGGGAGAATGAATTATCTACAGAGGTGCAGAGTAATCCACAATCAAACTGGAAACTCAAAGGTGAGAACTCTTAAATTAATTAAACAAGGAGGTCATTAGATTGAGGTGGCTTTATGTAGCCTTAGTAGCTTACATAAGCAAACCAAAACCTAAGCCTAAAATTGCCTCAAGGTTAAGAAATCAAAACCTATGAGCAACCAATCACCAAGAGTCAACTAGGTTTTTTCAAATAAGACAACTGCTTAAGCTATAACCAATCAAGTAATGTCTTTGCTTTGCTTCCACCTCTTCTCTATAAAAGTCTTTGCCCTCACTTCTATCAGTGAAGCCCTTTTAACAACTTCTATTTTGGCACCACTTAATTAGTATTATTTTTGCTCAAATGAACTCCTGAAAGTTTTAATATGCCTCAGTTTTTCTTTTAACAGAACCATAAAATTGGATTCTTGTAAAGAGAGCTCCAAGGGTTTTTTTAAACTCACTCTTTGCAATTGGAATCATACATTATTTAATTTTCAATGTACCAAGTTATTTTTTTCTGTTCTCTCCTTGCAGGCATAGAATGAAAAGAAAGATGTCTTTTCTCAATGCTTGTATTTCTGAAGAATGAGCAGATATAAGCAGGTGACCAATAAAATACGTTTGCATTACCTGTTCCGCTGAGGATTTTATTAGCTTGGCATTTTAGTAACTCATTATGTTTTCACAAATGTGTTCATTAGCACATATATTGTGCTACTATTAAGCTCAGTTATATGAGCTGTTAATTTTTAGCTGAGAAATCACTGACTTCCAATTTTCATGCCATATTATTTTTTGGACTCAGTCAGAAAAATCATTGTTTTGCAGCTATAAAACCTTTATTTAATTGAAGATCATTAAATCAGTAGTCTCATCAATTAAAATGCTCAGCATCCCTTTACCATAAAATTCATTCGTGTTGCTCGTTTCTGCAGATGGACTCCAGCAAATCATTGACACTGTCCTCCCTCAGACAGTAAAGGAATAAACAAAATGCCTTAACTGTGGGCTTTTCTGAGAAACCAACAGGAAATGTTACATGTGGGTCATCAAGAACCAAGTACCTGGACAAGGGCTCCTGCTGTATATTCTCCTTCATCCAGGACGAGTTTGGAGCCGTACCAGAAGGCCAGTGCATAACACAGGAAGATGAGGCACCACATGAATCCAGTAAAAAATCCCATCACTATCCCTTTTCTAATCCCCCAACGCTGGGCAAACACAAGATTTTTCTCATACCTGTCAAGAGAAAACATTTGGATCTCTTTCAGCAGCAGCAGTAGTGGCTCAAGTTAGAATGTTTAATACAGACCACAGTGCAGCGGCTTTCCTCAATGATGATAAAGGCATCCAAACACAGAACAGCTTTAGGGAAAGAAAACAAGTTCTGTGTAGCTATTTAATGTTTGTTTCAACCTGGCAATGAAATGAGTTGAAAGAATGATGCCTAACAAAGCCTCATAGTTGATAACTTCAGGGATGAGTACAGAGGGGTAAGCTTTGCCCCCAAGAGAAAAGAATTGTTCAGCACACATGTCTGGACGTGACGGATCCAGTACTGTTGCTGCTTATATTGTTTTATTAAGTCATGTGACATGAATCCAGTACTGTTTGTGCTTATATTGTTTTATTAAGTCATGCGACATGCTTTCTATCAGAAAAAGATGCAACTGTTTTCTTCCAGGTTTGAATATAGTGTTCGCACCAATTCATCTGCATGTACTCACTCACCTATCTGCCCTGTGACCAAGAATGCTATGTTGTAACATGATGGGTCAGATTCACAGCCATAGGACATGGATAACAATGTGGAAATTCAGTCCAAACACTAAGCTTCAGTAATTCTATCATTTAGCCATTAGTAATGGGCATTGTCTTAAAGCTTAGTCATCCTGTAACTGCCTTCCTTCGTCTCAAAAAGTAAACTTGTGGAGAACTTTAACATTTCATAGGACAAAATTGAAGACCTAGTCTGTTAATTTTTAAAACATTCACATTGCTTGTTTTATTAACAATAGAAGAAGATATCTTTTATACTGAAGGAAATATGCTACTGCTACTGAAAAAATTTTTACGAGAAATCAGAAAACTTCATTCCACAAACCAAAAGAAGCCAATGAAAAATAAAAGAGGAAAAGAGATAATTAGAGACTGTAAATCCCATTCTCTTTTTTATTTGGTGAATGTGCTAGCAATTGAGGATGTGTAGTTGAGTAGCTGACTAAAACACATTGAATAAAAAAGCGTTCAATAAAAATGTGTGAAATTGCACTTTAGATCATGGAGGCTTTTCCTTGATGGCAGCAAACTGTTATAGCCGGGTATGCAGTACAGTATGTGTGCACACACCCCTCACCTAAGATGGGTTTTTAAAAATTACTGACTCTAGCATCTTCCAAAACACACAGCTAAGGGCTTGGGAGCCTTGTAGTGCTCTGGTCGCTCTCATTGCTCTGCCGAGCTACCTCTGAACAAAAGCTCCTCCGGGTACCGTAGACCACGGTGGATATGCCGCTTTGCACAAAAAAACGGGGAAGCTTCAGGGTAGTGTATGGATCAAGGAAATTCAGGAAAGTGGCAGACATTTCAGTTAACCAACCTTTCAACCTCTTTTTTCTCACCACCAAAAGCAGCCACTGTTCGAATGGATGAAATGACTTCATCAGCCACTGACCCTGCTTTCGCATAGGCCTTCAATTCATGGTCAGTAAACGTGGACACACTCTAAAATCCAAAAGAAGAAAATAATATCTGAAGACCAGGTAATTAAGTAAGTCAGTCTGTCACTCAGTGATTCATTTAGGTGAGAAAACAGGTGTCATGGTTTTACACAAGACTAGATTCTCGCCAAGGAAGGATTTGGTCTAAATTTGATGTGTGCTAAGCCTGATGCACCAGTGTTTGGTTGCTGACATATCAAAATGACTGCATCAAAAGTCAGCCTCAAAACCATCAACAAAACAACAAGAAAGCCCACCGCATGGAAGAGCATATTTGCCAATGATATTTCAGATAAGGGTTTAATCTCCAAAATTTACAGAGAACTCATACAACTTAACAAAAGGAAGATAAACAATCCAATCAAAAAATGGGCAAAAGACCTAAATAGACATATGAAAACATGCTCAAAGTCACTAATCATCAAATCAAAACAACAATGAAGTACCATCTCACACCTGTCAGAATGGCTATTGTCAACAAATCAATAAACGACAAGTGTTAGCGAGGATGTGGAGAAAAAGGAACCCTCCTTCACTGCTGGTGAGAATGCAGACTGGTGCAGCCACTGTGGAAAACAGTATGGAGTTTCCTCAAAAAGTTAAAAATGCAACTCCCATTTGACCCAGTAATCCCACTTCTAGGACTATATCTCAAGAAACCAGAAACACCAATCAGAAAGGATATATGCACCCATATGTGGGATATAATGATCAACATAAACTGATGAACAAAAATAGATCCAGAGACAAGAGTCAGGGGAGAGGGCATTAGAGATCAACCAAAGGACTTGTATGCATGCATATTAGCATAACCAATGGACACTGGGCAGTGGGGGCTTGCTCTTGGGTGTGGGAGTGTCTGGGGGGGGGGTGTCAATCGGGGAAAAAGAAGACATATGTAATACTTTAAACAATAAAAAATAAAAATTAAAAAATAAATGATACTGCTCAAACTAAAAAAAAAAAGTCAGCCTCAAAACCCCTCTCGCAGAGTAAGTTCCAAATAGGGCATTCTGTGAGACCACAGTGTTTCATCATTACAGTAAAGAAGTTTTCAAGTCAAAACACAGCCAGGTGGATAGGTAGGTGGCTGCGCGGGTGGATGGGTGGGTGGGAAGAAATCAACAAAGAACTTGTATGCATAGGTGCATAACTTGTGCACACAGATAATAGGGTGGTGAAGGGGTGGGGGTGGGCTAGAAGTGGTCAATGGGGGGGGGGGAAGGGGACATAGGTAATAATTTCAACAACAAAGTTTAAAAAAATAAAATAAAATACAGCCATTATTAATTATTTTTTAAAAAGTCACATTTCATTGCTACTAGCCAGAGACCATTGCACAATTCACAGACAAACATCAGAGGCAAAGGCCAGAGGTCAGTTCAGGCATCACGTTGTTAGAATATAGAATGACAGAGAGGTACTGAGCCTGCAAAGGTAATACCACAGGAGAAAGCTTCAGATAAATACTACACTATTTATCCACCAACTACCTTTGCTTTTCACAAAAATAAATAAAAGGACATTGTACTTAATATTAAACAAGTTACTTTTTCTAAAATTGAACTTGGATTGAATCCTAGTTAGAATTAACTACCAACAAAATTCCTGGCACAGATGAAGAAACAAGGAGGGGAAAAAGCAAATATTGTGGGAAATTATCTCACTCAGCAAACCTAAAAAACATTTAGTACCCACACTAAGAGGATTTCTCTTCCTAGTTTTTCCAAACTTTTAGCAGCAAAACTCTTATCAAACAAACTCTTAAGTATAATTCTAAGATATAAAGTAAGTAAAAGTAATATTTTACTGCAATATGTTTATCTCAGAAATCCACATTTTATAAAACTTCTGTGAATTGAAAAGGCAACAATAAGAAAAGTGAGGTTACTTTCATTAACACTTAAATTTGGGTGTTATGGACGCCTGTAGTTTTTACCACAATCAGTTTCTAATTTATTTCACAAATATGTACTGGCAGCATGGTAATGAGATAATTAAGTAGTTACAAATGTTATCAATTTTTGTTGTAATGACACATTAATAATCTCACTTAAACTGATACGGGAGCTTTAAAAAATGTAGATTGGGGAATGTCTAACAGTTGCTCATGTTTCTCATCGTAACTACAAAAGTCAAAGGCAAACAAAGCCCAGCATATCTTCCACCATGTCATATAGTGCCCCTCCACCTTTTCTTGCCTTGTTTTGAATTGAGCCCAGGGAAGATGCCTGTATCATTTTACACAAACAGGCATAGGCTTGAAGTCAAGAAGAAACCAGCGCAGAGCCACCACGCTGCAAAACACTTGAAGTTGAAATGTTGGGCACTGAGGCAAGGGAAGCAGTGCTCTCAGTCGGAATAAAGCCAAGGAAACCAGGCCACATTGTCGGTCTCCAGCATGTTAAAATGTGTCATGTGACCTGGTAGAGAGTGAATATTAATTTATCATGGGTTTAAAGAAAGAGATTACATGTATTTGGCAGGAAAAGTTTTTAATCAAATGTGTGCAGAATCCCCACAGACCCTCCACAGAAACAGAGGCTCCTCTGGAGTGCAGCTGGAGGGCATTTGGTAGAAAAGACTTATGCAAAGCTTGCAGGATATGGTGGATTGGGAACAAATAAAAGCTAATATCTCTTTAGTAATTAATTCTGTGTCAGGTGCTGTGCTGAGTGCATAATGTGGATTATGTCTTGAGTCATCATGATGGCTTTGGGAGGTATTATCCTTGTTTTTAAGTTGAGAAGACTGAAGTTTTGATGAGTTAAACATACCTTTGTTAAGCCAGGTTGGGACCTAGTTAAGTGCAGTGAGCTCTTTGCTATTGTCCCTCTGCATTACCTGGCTCTATTGAATATTAGAACCAGTGGACTGTAGAGAATAGTTTTCCAGAAAAATATCATCTGGAGATTGGTACATGTTGCTCAATAACGTCAGCTTTTCACTTGAATTCTACTCTCATTTAGAGAAAATTATTAGTGTGCCTGGTCCCAGGACCTGCTATCTAATGTGGTTGCTCTAATAGTAAGCTATAAGAATTTTTCAATCCTTGGGAGTGTGTTTTAACTGGGATGACCCAAAATTCCTACTCCCACACTTTTTCTTGGCCTGTGCACCTGGGGAATGGAGACTGCTCTTGGGAAACTGCTTGGAATGGACCAAGTAATCTCTCTCTGAAACTGATCAGATGGAATGAAGAGAGAACACAGTAGTGATTGCAGAAATTTCTTTTAGGTGCTTGTTACTAATATGGGTATATTTGTTGGGCCTTTTTGAGGGAACATCTGAGGTTGGGAGACCAGGGAAGCAATAGGCATTAGAGAGTGTGTGGAAATTTAGAGTCAGTCCCCTTTGAATTTGAATTCTATCCTGTCACTCGCTATCTGTGCAGTCCCTTTACCCCTCTGAGTCTCCATTTCTTATATTTAAAATGGCACCAATACTTTATAAGATTGTCATAAAGATTAGAGATCATATATATATAAAGCTCCTCATAGTGCCTGGCACAATAGTAAATGCTCAATAAGTGTAGTTGTTATTGTTATTAATACAGCAATATTTATGTTATTAAAATATCATTAATCCCTAATCTATGGAATGTTATTTGATACTGAGGAATAATCAGTCAAAATAGTGATAAAGATGTTGACTAGCCATACTCAGGAAAAGGGACTCGAGCTTATATTTTTGGCTGTTCCTCAGAGACAATATCTCCCGTTGGAAAGCAATGAGAAGACACCCTTACCAGACCAATGACGGCTGCTCCCATTCCAATGAGAGGGCTGACAGAAATGATGACCAAGGTCAGCTTCCAACCCTGGTAAAATCCCAGCAGGAACCCACAGATGCTCGTGGTCATGCGCTGAATGAAAATGGCCATTTGGTCAGCAATGGCATCATTGATTTTATTAATATCACTAGAAATAAGAGAGGCTTTTATCACTACAGTGGGATTGGTCAATTCAAATGTCTTACTGAGAAATCTCAGTCTTTCCCTTCTAAACACTCCTATCCTGTACCCCATCGCCCTTGGGAAACATGACTGACTCTCACATCTGGAAAAATTTGCTGCAGCTTGGGAGGTCATCAAGCCTTTTCTGTCACAGCCAAGAAAGTTGTCCTTAACCCAGTTTTCCCAACTGGTCTCCATTAAACATTGGCAAAGGCTTTTGGAAACCATCTTATTTGTCTCTTTTTTATAATTAGTACTAGAGGCCCGGTGCATGAAATTCATGTACAGGGATGAGGGTGTCCCTCAACTCAGCCTGCACCCTCTCGCAATCTGGAACCCCTCGGGGGGGGTGTCCGACTGCCGGTTTAGGCCCAATCCTATAGGCAGTGGGACATCCCTCTCACAATCTGGGACTGCTGGCTCCTAACCACTCGCCTGCCTGCCTGCCTGATTTCCCCTAATCACTCTGCCTGCCTGCCTCATCGCCCCTAACCACTCATTTGCCTGCCTCATCACCCCTAACTTCTCTCATACCTGCCTCATCATCCCTAACTGCCTCTACCTTGGCCCCTGCCACCACGGCTTTGTCCGGAAGGATGTCTGGAATGATGTCCAGCTGTCCAGTCTAATTAGCATATTATGCTTTTATTATTATAGATATCCTTGATCTGCCCTGAAGAACCAGTCTTCCCTTCTTTATTTCTGTTAAGTCCTTTTAGGTTCTGCTCACATACCAACTAATTCATAGAAAGTTATGTAATTCCTCAGAAAGAAGTAATATTTTCTTCCCTATATTTCCATAGCAATGTAACTAGTCTGTATACATGTGTATGTATGTGTATGTAATTATTTCATTCTGCTTATAGACAGTATAGAATAGTGTTTAAGAGGACAGACTCTAGAGCCAGACCCTGAGTTTAAACACAAGCTATTCTTGAGCAAGTTACCTAACCTTTCTGTGCCTCAGTTTCCTCATCTGTAAAATGGAGAGAATGACAGATCCTACCTCAAAGGGTAGTAATGAGGATTAGCTAATATATGTAAAGCATGTAAAACAGTACCTAGGATATAGTAAGCAGTCAACATGTGTATGTTCTGATTATTTATGTGTTTGTACCTTTTATCATCATACTAGGCTGTAAGTTCCTTGAGATGAGGAGTTCTGTGGTTTATCTTTATGCTTTGCATAGAGTAAATGCTCCAGAATATTGGTTGAATATAGTTACATTAAATTCACATTCCCATAATCTTTTGTTCAGTGGAGCAAATAAGCGTTTAGGACTTGATAGCAAAAAATGACCTGAGACATTATGCAGGGATCAGACAATTGTATTCTAGCAAGGCTATGTATCTGTCCAAGGTCTCAGTAAGGGGCAGAATGAGTGCTGGAATCTAAGGGTCCCAACATTCAGTCTACTTTATTTTCACTACACTGCACACTATCTTTAATGGGGCTTCAAAGCTTCATTCCATTGAACTGGTTCTAATTCCTCAGGGTTCAACTGGTTCTAATTACTCAGGGCTCATTCAGAATCACTGAGGGGGCTATTAATGACCCAAACTAGCATTCAGATGTAAACTGGATTTACAGACAGTTTTTTAGCTTGAATCTTTCTCAAACTATTATGGATTTTTTATTTTTGTTTTTATGTGCATAAAAATTACCTCAACAGTCAAAGCAAGGGGATTTGTTCTAGTTATATTGTTAGATACCTGATAGATACCTAGATTGTGACATCCCTCAATTTCTCCTTTTGGGGCCAAATAACCTACTTCTTCTAACTCTCTTCTGTAATGTCATTTCTAGTAGTTTAATCAAAGGCCTACAAACCAAATGATAGTATCCTGGCTTTTAATTTATAATGGCCATATTTGATAAAACATTACCCGTGAAAAAGCCATACCTATAAAAGCCCAACTTAAGAGACAAAACATATAAAAAATAACTGAGAATGACAAAATAAACTAACAAAGTGGAGACAGACTCATAGATACAGAGAACAGATTGACAGCTGTCAGGGGATGGGGACTGGGTAAGATGGGGAAAAGGATTAATCAAAGAAAAAAAATAAAGACTCATGGACACAGACAACAGTATAGCGATTGCCAAAGCGAACAAGGGTACTGGGAGGAGGTAGAAAAGGGTAAAGCGGGGATAAATGGTGATGGAAGGAGACTCATCTTGGGGTGGTAAACACACAATACAATATACAGATGATATATTGTAGAATTGTATACATGAAACCTATATAATTTTATTATCCAATGCCACCCCAATTAAAAAATAACTGAGAATGTTTCCAATTGTTATTTCATCTATACTAATAAAAGGGTAATATGCTAATTAGACCAGGATACCTTCAGGACATCCTTCTGGACGAAGCCATGGTGGCGGGGCCAAGGCAGAGGCGGTTAGGGGTGATCAGCCTGGCAGGGAGGGGCAGTTGAGGGCGAGCAGGCTGGTGGTGAGGGGGGAGTTGGGGGCAAGCAGGACAGCGGGAGGGGGGCAGTTGGGAGCAATTAGGTTGGTGGGGGAGACAGTTGGGGCAAGCAGGCTGGCAGGGGGGGCAGTTAGGGATGAGAAGGCTGGCAAGGGAGGCAGTTAGGGGTGAGCAGGCCATCAGGCAAAGTGGTTAAGGACAATCAGGCAGGTAGGCAGGTGAGTGGTTAGGAGCCAGCAGTCCCAGATTGCCAGAGGAGTCCCAGATTGGAGAGGGTGCAGGCCGGGCTGAGGGACCCCCCCCTCCCGCCCCCCCCCCCCGTGCATGAATTTTGTGCACTGGGCCACTAGTTTAAAAATAAGAGTTTATTATAAAAAAAAAAATCATACATACATACATAAAATGTCCTACCAGCCACTTACTCAGAAAATCTTGTATTCAGCTCTCCCACTGAATTGCAGTCGAACCACCCTATTTCCATTCTCATTATTTTTCTAAAGTAAAGTTTTCTCATTTTCTGTATTTGACGAGCTGAGGCAATTACCCAAGAGCATATCTAGAAATGGAGCAAGGCATGTTTAACATTGAGATTAACATTATTAATTCCTTCTCTTTTCAGAAGAAAATACTTTCACTGTAACAGTTGAGAAAAGGAGGGAAGTAATTCACAAAATGTCTCTTTTGGGGATCTGAGGTGTAAGTGCTGGCATCTGCTTCTGTTGCAGGGAAGCCAGAAGTCCTGGGTTTGAATCCAGCTCTGCCACTTTTAGACTGAACCTTACTGAGCTTCACTTACCTTGTGTGGAAAATAAGGCTCAAAGCACCAAAAATAATTATTGCTTTTAACTCACTCGTCTTGCATGCCATGTCTGAGTGAATTTTTCCCCTGAGAGGCCTGCCAACAAGTATTTATGCATAGTTTTCGAGCTTTTAGACAACAATTTTCAGAGAAAGCAAGACAACAATTATGACATAAGCTAATTGTTTCCCCTAACCAAGCAAAGTAAGCCTATTACTAAAACTCCCAGGGCCAAATGAGAAAAACTGATGCATTTCTCTCTTCAACTAGCACTAACTTCCTAGAATTATTGATTAAATGGGGGAGGGGGGGAGGGTTATTATTTTTTTCTACAGGAGATGGCAAAACATGAAATACTTTTTTCCTTAATAAGGGTTCAGTGACTCTAGGTCTTTCCATAGCTTAAATGTGCTCTACATTTAGTTTATAGCATTTGGGTTGAAATACAGTTGGGTGAGACTTTAGCATGAAAGAGAAGCAGAGTAAAGTTTGCTTTCCTCCAACTCACCACATCTGGCTTTCTCCAGACCACTCACTCGCCCTCTACAAACTCACCTGCAGTGTCTATTTCTGAGTTTAGAAGAGAGTATGAAGTAGGGAGGGAAGGGAAGGACAGGACATGGAAATTAAAGGTCTATCTGTCTCTCTAGACAACTGCTTGTATCCTCTCCAACTGAGAGGAAGAATCTTTCTCATTCTCTCATGGCTCCTCTGCCCCCACCCCACCACCCCTCAACCCCTCACCCCCACCCCCGGAAAAACAAGCACAACACTGTAGTCCTCAGGGCTTCTGAGTAACTTAAAAGTTAAGGAGTACACTTTTCATTTCATTGTAATGACTTTGAACCCAGATGTTGCTCAAGAAGTAAAATGGCCAAAGTGGCTCAGTGGTTGAGCATTGACCCAGGAACCAAAGGTCACTGGTTTGATTCCCCTGCCAGGGCACATGCCCGGGTTGTGGACTCCCCAGTAGGGAGCATGCAGGAGGTAACAGATCAATATTTCTTTCTCTCTCCCTCTCTCTTCCTCTCTCTCTAAAAAATAAATAAAAACATCTTTTTAAATGAAAAAAGAAAAGAAAAGAAAAAGCCCATGATAGTTAAAAAAGAAATAAATATAGGTGCTACTAACTTGAATATATCCTGTGATAAGAACTGCAACAGCGGTTCCAGCATAGTAACTGGCAAATTTGATCATTTCACTTTCAATGTCCATCAACCTTCAAAAGAGAGAGAAAATGTTAAGACTCACAAGAAGGATCAAGCTACCAAAGATTACATTTGTGGGTACAGAGAAATTTAACATACATGTATTATACATTTCTACTAAATATGGATAAGGCTTTTTATCTAAATAGAATTATGGACAATTCAAAAAAAAATCCCTAAATAGATCTCAAGGTACCAATCACAGCCGAGATGCCTACCCCCTTCATTTTTGCAGGCCCAGATGCTAGGGTGTGAAATCATCAATCTGCAGTTGTTGGAAGCCCGGGGGCCCTCCATGGCAACCCAGTGCTCTGTCCACTGAGGCCCCTTTCACTGGGGTTCTATGTGCAGTGATAGAGCAATCACAGCCACAGGGAGATGTGTGCTGTAAATCAGGAGGCTTGCTGTTCCTCTTTCAGGAATCTAAGCCGCTTTGCAAGTCCTCCATCTCAGAGTGACACTGTGAGGAATGTGCAATGTCATCTTCCCACAGAGGCAGAAAAACACTGTATTAGCAGAGCCTCTCTGCTGACTACAGCTCAGGAAGCTTCACTCTCCAGGGCGCTTTCTAAGGTTGAAGCCAAAGAACTTATGGGGAACAGCAAGAAAGCTCCACAGCGTTTTCCAGCACAGCTATCATGCTGTGGCATAGGGTTTGGGGCAGGGAGGGGAGGAAATCAGGAACTTTATAATTAGAAAACTAACATATCAGTTGATGACTGTCCTGATCCTCAGGGACAAGTTAAATGATATGGAGTCCATTTCTTTAGAAAATCAGAAAACAGCATCTTCACCCCACAAGCTTCCTGCTTTCTATCACAACTTCCTTTTGTGACCAGGCTGGAAGTGTTCTCTCCTCTACTGACCTCAAACCAAGTATCAAAGTTTAATTCATTTAATTCAGAACAGACTGTTATCTATGACAGATTTTATTGCCACCTTGCACTATTTTTCAATACCTTTATTGAATATATTTACATCAAATATGTACACACACACACACACACACACACACACACACACACACATATATATATACTAGAGGCCTGGTGCACAAAATTCATGCATGGGGGGGTCCCCTCAGCCCAGCCTGCACCCTTTCCAATCCGGGAGCCCTAGGGAGATGTCTGACTGCCTAAACCAGCAGTCGGACACCCCTCTCACAATCCGGGACCACTGGTTCCTAACTGCTCACCAGCCTGCCTGCCTGATAACCACTAACTGCCCCCCCTGCCAACCTGATTACCCCTAATGCCTCTGCCTGCTGGCCTGATTGTCCATAACTGCCCCCCTGCAGACCTGGTTGCCCCCAAATGCGCCCCCTGCTGGCCTGGTCATCCCTCACTTCCCCCTCTGCTGGCCTGGTCAACCACAATTGCCCACCCCTGTTGACCTGGTCGCCCCATGTAGCCTGCTGTTCAGTCGTTTGGTCGTCCCTCACTAACCCTATTGCCAGCCTATTCACCCCACACAGCCTGCTGTTCAGTTGTTTGGTTGTCCCTCACTAACCCCCTGCCAGCCTTGTCGCCCCACACAGCCTGCTGTTCGGTTGTTACTGTGACGGAGTCCTGGACAATTTGCATATTCCCCTATTATTAGTATATATATATTTGTTTTCCATGCTAGTACATTGCAAGCTACTTGAGGCCAAGGACTGGGTTTAAGCTGCTTGCTCACACTGTCTGAAGCCTGGTACAATATCTTCCACATAGTAGGTACTTAATAAATGTTTCTGGATTTTGCTTTGACTTTGAAAAAACTAGTGGAAGGGAAATAACTGCCTTGGCCAACCCCTCTGATAATCTCTAAACCAGCTAATAAGTCTGTTCTCACCCCATTCCAAGGTTTTCATAATGATTTAAGGGAACCCTGAGAATGAACAAGACCTAGAAAATCATAAATGTATATATAAGTATCCACGGTCAGAGGCATTTACAAAAGCTAACAACAGAGCGTATAATGAGTAAAGCCTTCTAATGAATAAAGGAGTCCATACTCTGAGTTCTTTGTTTGTGAAATGGAATTTGGGTGTCCAAAAACAGAAACCTATGGGCATTCGTAAGAAAGCTTTACTTAGCCTTCCTATGGTGCATTCATTCTACGGACACTCCAAGCAGAGGTGATTTAGTGCCTGTCATGAAAGACGCAGCTGCCAGTTATAAACAAACCTACGAGGATTTAGAGAACTGAGCACCTAGCCAGCCCCGGGATTTACTGGAGCGAAGGTCAGGAGAATTACGTCATCGCTGAGTGGTGTGGATAAGGGCACGTGCAGTTTATGATTCTTTTCACTTCTGAGGCACCTCAGAGATAGATGACTAACTCGTTTCTGTGTTATTCTTGGGAAGAAAAAGTTATCAGTTTTAGAGATTACTTGAGAATATTTCTGGAACAACAGGACAAACCTCTCAGGAAAACTGACAGGGAGGAAAAGAGAGGCTGGCCTTGTTCCTTTGGCTGCACATCAAACTCTGCATCATGTGCCTGGTGGAAAGTTCTTTTGATTATAAAATCCTGGAAAGGATTCTATAAATTGTGCAGGTGATTCTGACCCCAAAATGGCACCTTTTTTTAAAACAGCAAAATTAACTTACATCTACTTAAATAAATTAAGATTCCCTTGACTCATTCGTTGAAAAGAGGAGAGGGGTGTGAGGACAATTAGAAGGAAAGGAAAGAGATATTTTACAAATTATTAATATATGAGGATTTTTACCTTGCTTTTTATAAAAAATAAATGCATCATGAGAGTGAATCACTCACTTTACACCTCACAGTTCCATATTTACTAGAGCCATAGGTTTTTCACTTAAAATACCTAGGAGGTCATTATGACAAGGTGCATTGCTTAGCGAGGAGTTTTTCTTTCAATGGTCCTCATTCCCTGTAGACATAGGAACACTGGCACAGTAGAGTGAACATCCCTGTCAGCTCTAAACTGAGCATCACGATGCGGCAGAAACATGTTCATGTCCTAGCTTCAAGGTGTTGGAGACTCGGTATTCCTTAATGCAAGGGATATGTTGCTAGAACACCCACCCATGAGGGTAGCTACTGCCAAAATGGCTACGTCTTACTTCCAGAGAACCCAAAACCATTTTTTTTCCACCCAGGAATCTACTTTTTGTTTATTTTTAATCAAACTTTTTATTTTGAGATAAGTATAGATGAGGATGCAATTGTGAGAAATATTACAGAGAGCTTATGTATGCCCTTTTCCCAGTTTCCCCCCAGTGGTACATCTTGTGAAGCTATAGGATAGTATCACAATCAGGATGTTGAAACTGAATAATTAAGATCAGGGCAGACTCATTGCCACAGGATTTATCATGCTGCCCTTTCATATGCATCCATGTTTTTATGTGGCCACGCCTCCTTTAACCACTGGCTACCACTAATCTGTTCTCTGTTGTTATAGTTTCGTCATTGGAAGAATGTTCAATGGAATTACACAGAATGTAACCTTTTAGGATTGGGTTTTATTTCAATCAGCATAATTCTTTCAAGTTTCATCAACAGCCCATTCCTTTTTATGGTTAAGTAGTATTCCACGGTATAGATGAATTACAGTTAGTTTAATCCACTCACCTATTGAAGGATGTCTGGGTTGTTTCCACTTTTTGTCTTTTACAAATAATGCTTCTATTTTTTACATTTAAGTTCATTTCTCTGGGACAAATCCCCAAGAGTAGAATTGCTGGGTCATATAATAGTTGCATGCCTAGCTTTTTAAAAATTGCCAAACTGTTTTCTAGAGTGGCTGTCCCATTTTACATTCCCACAAAGGTATGGGTGATCCAGTTCCTCCACATCCTCACCAGCAGCTGGTGTTATCACTATTTTTTATTTTAGTCATTCTGACAGATAAATACTGATTTCATTTTGATTTTAATTTGCGTTCCCTAACCACTAGTGTGAACATCTTTTCATAGGCTCATTTCCCATCTTTATATCCTTAGTAAAATGTCTGTGTCTTTCCTCCATATTCTGAATTTTTTTAACTATTGAGTTTTGAGAGTTGTTTAGTTATAGTCCTTTGTTAGATATATGATTTGCAAATACATTCTCCTGGTCTGTAGTTTGTCTTTTCACCCTCTTAACAAGGTCTTTGTAAAAATTTTTATTTATTAATTTTGAGAGAGACAGAGAAGCATCCATTTGTTGTTCTCTCTATTTTTGCACTCATTGGTTGATTTTTCTATGTGCCCTGACCAGGGATTGAACCCAGAGCCTTGTCATACTGAACAGTGCTCTAACCAACTGAGCTACCTAGCCAGGGCAGTTAACATGGTCTTTTGTAAAGCAAAGATTTTAATTTTGATGAAGTCCAATTTATCAAATTTTATCTTTATGGATTATTCTTGGTGTCAAGCCTAAGCACTCTTTCTCTAGCCATAGAAAATGCTCTCCAATATATTTTTCTAAAATTTTACAGTTTATTTTTTACATTTAAGGTCATAATCCATTTTGAGCTAATTTCTGAATATGTTTATGTTTGGGATGTCCAATAACTTCTCCACCATTTAATAAAAACTTTATCTTTCCTTCATTGAAACTGCTTTTCCACCTTTGTCAACAAACAGTTGGCCATATTTGCGTGGGTTTGCATTCTCTATTCTGTTCCTCTGTCAATATCATACTGCCCTGATTATTATGGCTATATGATATGACTTAAAATTGGGTATATTGTTTTCTCGCACTTCATTCTTCTTTTTGAAAATTGTTTTAGATATTCTAGTTCTTTTGCCTTTTCATGTACATTTTAGAGTTATCTTGTTTATATCTACAAAAAATCTTATTTATATTTTGATAGAAATTGTATTAAATATGTATGTAAATTTGGGAGAACTGACATTGTTACTGTACTGAATCTTCCAATTGATTAACACAGTATGTGTCTCCATTTATTTTGGTCTTCTTTGATTTCTTTTATCAGCATTTTGCAGCTCTCAGCATACAAATCCTGTACATGTTTTGCTAGATTTACACATAAGTAAAAGTTTTTAAGTAG